ATTGTTGTTTTTTGACGCGGTACGCGTTCTGCCAAGTGTTGCAATACTTCTGACCCACTATTGTACTTCGATCATTCTCCAAAAAACAGACAAAAGGCAATGTCAATTGACTTACTATAGCTGTATTTTTATCTAAGTTATCTAATTCAATAAACTCGCACTGTTTTGTCGCTGCAAGTTCCAGCATTGACGAAATAACATAGGAATTCGTCAAAGCTTCCAATATTTAGGCTCTACCCGTAATTGTAAAGGGTAGGGTGGATACTTTTATAGCTATGATACAGGTAACTTATGCCGCAACATCCTTGTCCTAGTAACTTTTTTTTCGCCGCCATGTCATTCGGATTGCGGTTGCTTCTTTTGTGATACACAATGATTTGGCCCAATGTTAGCTACTTAGTACGAAATTATTTATACAATGAGCTTCCCCTCGGCGACTGGCTTCAATTATCCTATACTGACCGCATCATTCCGAAAATTTGTCCCCAACACAACACAACCCTATATAACCCAACTACGACACAGGCCTCACTAAGAGCACTAAATCCAAATCAATTCAATCAAAGTTAATATATATATATATATATATATACAACAGGATCAGTATGATTGTGCTCACCCAAGGCCAGTGGTGGGTGTCTCACCGCTCTTAGAGACTCGTTAGAGTCTTCTTCAGAGATCTGACTATCCTTTATCCAAAGAATCGAGAAGCACATTTTCATTACTAGAGTGGGTTTCGGGTCCGGGTCGGGTCAAGATCTGAAGCTGAACTCTATCCGCATAAATAATACACACTTGAAAAATCACGAGGTTTAATATATTTGACCTATTTTATACACACTAAATATTTTCAAATATCCAGAGGATATTGAGTGGGATACCATATCTGACAACTCCACAATTTGCGGAGAGGATATGCGGATATCCATGGATATTGAGGATGTTACCGCAGTCTACACAGTAGTGTTTTGACAATATTGCCCAGATAATTCCGTGCTTTTCTGCTATTTTTCGTGTAATTTATTTTTCGCCTGCTTTCAAGGATTCTATCTCTGCTAGGGCTGTTTCAATTGAGTCCCTATTGATGATATTATGGTCTATGTAATCTATCGAAAAAGTTGGTGTACAGATGAAAAACGTTTGTCAGGTGATACCATTTGTCAGGTGATTAGGGACGGCACATCGATGTCAGCCTCCTGTTACAAAACAGATTGTAAGCGCGCAACTCTGAGCTTACATAAACCACTTCCGCAAACGTAGCAAAGAATTCACTAGTGCCTCGTTGTTAAACTGATCAGGTGTGGCAAATAGACAGAGCCCTTATTCCAAGCGTCTGTCTCACCACCTCTCCGCCTTTCTTCTCCTTCTCCTCCTTCTCCTTCTTCTCCTTCTTTTGTGCTTCGTGCCGACTTTTTCTCAATTTCATAAAGACGAAGAGTAAGGACTCTGATATCACGAATTCTTTGCCAAAGTGAACAGAACCCTCTACGCGTAATTATGTCAGCTGATTAACTATGTGGTTACCAGTGGCAGCTTCGAGTGATATCAGACTCGAAATCTGCCTACAGGTCAGGAGTTCATCCTTAGATGACAGTGAACTGAGAAAGCAGAACATTTCCATATTGATAGGCCAGCTTTATGAGAATCTGTGTTGGAGTCATAGAACTTCTGCTTTGCCAATGAAAACGTCCCACGTTTTCAATTAATGGCATGTCATCGAGACCACGACCTAACCTCCAAGGTACCAGGGCTGTCTTGTGGCTACCAGCAGTTGCATTTCGCTAATGTATAAGTCAAAATGGACCTTCCACATATCGATAATTGCGAAGAGTTCCCATACGGGGTGCGTACATATATCTCGGCGGGTAGATTTGCCACCGTTTGGCAGTGTACACGCCAGAAAGAGGTTGTAGCATGCAAGCTCTTCGCGAATTCATATGATGCCCTCCCGGACTGCGCAAAATACTTCGGCGAACTTCGGCGGAATGAAGTTAACATCATGGGCAAGCTACGTGGTCAACGGCATATTGTTCACATCATAGAGACTATTTGTATCCGGCGGGACTTCTTTATTATCATGACTCCACTTGCTGAATTTGACTTACAAAAACTCCTCTCTCTTATTCGTGATGGGACAAAAGAACGAGATGATTATAGGGAGTCCCTGTTGAAGGCTTTCGGTTGCCTTTCTAGTGCTCTTGATTATATTCATGAACAGAAAATCCGTCATAAAGGTATTTCGTGACAGTTTATCAGCAAGAAACCGCTAACTTAAATAACCAGATATTAAGCCTCAAAATATTCTTTACTCCAAAAGCTCCTGCTATTTCGCTGATTTCGGGATATCACAGGAGTTTGAAGACCATTCAAACTTGCTTATAACACGTTCCGAAAGACCCCAATACACGGATAGGTATTGTCCACCTGAAACATTGAAACCTACTGTATATTCAAGTATTCCCACGTTTAGTCTACTTCCAAGGTATCCGTGGCTTGCAATGGAGGAAAGCTTTGCCCGAGATGCAAGATCTGACGTCTTTTCGCTCGGTTGCACCTTTTACGAAATCTTGGCAATTCTGGAACCGGAAATTTTTCCGACACAAAATGAATCCTATCGTGAATGTATTACAAAGATCAAAGATTCTCTAAAAGCGGCTGTATCCAGAGAGCCTAGCCTAACGTCGCTACTTGAATTCTGCAGCAAAATGTTATCGCAAGACAGGATCAAGCGTCCACATCCTTTGTTGACTGAATTAAAATCAATGCACTCATCTGACCTCTTTGAAAAGTATTTTTGTCATGACTGTCGATTAGATATATCAAAGCTGTGGTACATACCCGCTAATCCTCTCTAGATTTTCAATACTAACTGAACATTCTGCAAAGATAACCGATATCGTGAAGGGGCCAGTGGCCGTGATTCCTCCCGTTGACGACAGGATAGCCTTGGTCTAGAGGAGAATATGTTTTGCAGGACGTGCTGATGACCTAATAATGGCATTGCCTCGTCGCCCTTGGACATCCGTGTCAATTCTTGATATTGTGAAAACGTGGCGAGGCTGAGTAGAAACATACGACCAGTTGTCAATAAGAGTGCGTCGCGGTGGGTTATGAATTTAACTCATGAAAGGAGCTAACAACCATACGGACTATAATATTCCTGCTCGGATATTTTACTTTCTAAAATCAACACCGCAGCTTCCATGTTAACTTGTGTATTATCTCAGATTATAGTCCTTGATTATGATTCATAAATAGCTATCTTGAAACGCAGATTTATGAAGGTCAGTGATCATGCTCAAACATTTTTGGGGTTCGTTTAATAAGTTACCGAACTTAATAATAGATGAGCTTCTGTGACTTTTCGCGCCTTTAAAGACTAACTGGTCCGCCTTTTCAGCAAGCCATGGGTGAACGCTTTTTTGTGTCGTATACACATAGCATAGTCCAAATTTGTCGTGAAGAGGTTATTCATAGAGCGAACCACTCACTTTAGGATAATATATTTTGTACGGTATAACTTTATCATTGGTAATAGTTAGGGCATGAATGTTCTAGCACCCCGCATTACAATAGACTTTCGAGATCAAAGGATCGTAACCTCTTTTTCGATTTGACTGGACGATATAACGGCTACTCTAGCTATCGCCGAAGTCATGCCACCATGGCTACGGCGAGGGGATAGTATAACAGAAGTCCCCCCGGGTGACCGGCTTGGTCTGGCCAATGAGATGTTGGAGCCAGTGATCCAGTAAGTGGTGCCACTTCCAAATATTCAAGACGTAATCGTGAGTCATGAGCCGGTTGAGGAACAGCCTAGAGGAAAAAAGGGTTGACCTTGAATATAAAGTATTCTATGTAGCTCTTGAGACACTGGTACTCTTAACGAAAACTCACATCGTGGTATATTGAATGTTTACACAATGCCCTCACATTTCTTTGTATCAGACGGGAAATAGAGCGCCGTATTCTAGGGTTTGAACACTTACCACGCAGCTTCTGAAGACGCTACATGTAAAGGTACGGCCTGAGCCTTCTTTATCTTATAGTGCCAGTTGCTGCAAAATAGTCCGCATCGGGTTCAAAAAGAGGAAAGGCAGTGTAACTCACAATCATGATGGCCCTTCTACAGACTTTACTCTGTAAAGTAACTTGCGTTTAATTATCGTTCAAGCAGATTGTTTTTGTTGACTAGGATACCTTGTCATCTAGCTAATTGACATCATAGACCCATGGTCATGATCTAGGTCAAATGAGAATGAACGATCTTTGAAAAAAGAAAAATAGCCTCCCCGACTACGGTAATACGGTACGCTATTTCGTGCAGTAAGTTATTAATGATTACAATATGGGAGGCAATATAGTCAACAACGCCGAAACTACAACCGGATGCCCATCAGATGTTGAAAGGGGCAATTATGAGGATGAGAAGGCCCTGCTGGATCAAATCAGATCAGTTGGTGGTCGAGAAGTGCAAGGTATAGCTATACTAAGCTTCAGAGCGCTACAGCTTTACCGTATCTCAGATCTACAAAAAGAGCTTTTATTGAAACAAAAGAGCGTGATGAGTGGACAACAGGGTACAGAAGGAGATAATGGTCGTCAGACCGATAAATTACTACAAAGATATGGTAGGTGAAAAATTTACATACACTAGTGAATTACACAGGTTCTGGTCCTCATCGCTCGTGCAGCTATTTCATATTTGGCTAACCATGCTATAGCTAATGCGGTCCGAAACTATGAAACCCTATCCCAGAACCTAGTCCTTGACAAAATTGATGGCTACAAATTCCTTGATGATAAATGCCAGAGATTCCATCTAGAATATAGGAAGGGATCTTCCAAATGGGCAAGTCCCAGGTGGAAGTTCTGGGAGGACAAGACCGTCACTGTAGCTGCCACCGAGCCGAGTGCTGGTTTTTTCGGTCCCCTTGGATTTCGGGAACTTGATAAGCAGAAACGAGTAGAACGAGAACGTCGAAGCGCATACCATTCCCGGTTTGGCATGGGTCTATTCGGAGGCGTGGCTCTAATTGTACCTATGATTATCATGGCTTTACATCCAGGCCTTGTGGTAGATTTAGTTACCACTTCAGCCGCCACAGTGATATTTATTTTGATTGTTACTATTTTTGGGCGAGATGCAACTGGAAAGGATGTCCTGGCATCAACAGCAGCTTATGCCGCTATTTTGATTGTATTCGTTGGGACAAGCCTTGACCTACGTGCGCACTAGATAATCACTAGGGCAATACTTAATTCTTAGCAATACGTTTCAGTAATTAACCCGCTTTCGGAAACCACCACACTCCCCGCTCTACTTGTATATTTCAAATAGCATTGGTTCTCGAGGCCTAAAGTTGAACACCACATAATTCCAGCCTATCGTACTCAGCATGAAAATCTTTACAAAAATTGGAGAGATTGGATCCTATTTCTGGTATACCAGCCCCCAGCCTGAATAACCGCCTCAACACACCGTCCCATACTACGATACTACCCACTATATTCTTTAGAATACCCTAGAGCTCAATACACTACGATTGCTCAAACCTCCTATAGATACCTTCTTTCTTTTTATCCGAGCTGTGTTAGTTTCCAACATCAAGCATTTTATTATAGATGCCGTCTTCGAGCGAAAGCTACAAGTGTCCAACGGATTTTAACTCGAAAAAGCAGGGCGGCTATTCCATTTATTTTATACTATATCTCACCGCCAATCCTTGGTATTCCCAGCTATATAGAAATGCGCTTTATCTTTCTCGAAGGTATGCTGAGGACCACAGAGAGCAAACAATATCTTTTTCAAAATATTGAAATTGGAGTTAACAGAGTAGCCAAGCTTCTTCGACTCAAAGTTCACGTGCCAGATGTGTTAAATCTTTGCGGTTTTTGCCCCCAGATAGCTGCCCAAACCATCACTCTGACGCTATATCCCTTTTCAACAGGTTGAAGAAAGTCCTTCTTATATTTTCCACGATAAAGGTGGAGCCGAAAAAGCGATTTCTGACGATGGCCTGAGCCGAGCATTCATTTGGCTATATACTATTAGCTCAGTTAGCCTCAGTATAGTATTTGGACTATATAACCAATTGAAGGCATTATTTAGCTGTTTCATCTGTCAGTGTAGTGTGTTTTCCAGCTTTCCATTTGCCATATATCGATTCATGAATAGAATTATAGAGCGTGCGATCTGATAAAGCCACTGGGAGCTAATTCGGCAACTATGCATAAGGCCGGAAAGGATCTCATTAAACAAAACAGATAGTCGCTTGTCTCACTTAGGATGGTGTCGTGGGCATCCTGGCTGTGGTTGGGATTGGTATTTATGTTGCAAAATAGCTTGGTCGGTAGCTGAATAGATGGTTCAGACAGGCCCTATCTAGAGCGTCTGCTATTATTCACTAGCACCACCGAACCGAGCCCCCTGTATCAAAGGCTCTCAGCTAACTTCAGCTTGCCTAATACCAGAATTTGAAAGTTCTCAACGCCTCCCATTGAGCCATGGTTCTGTGGGTGATCCGGGCGCACTGAAACTAGGTTTCATTACCCAGACTCTTCTTTGGAAATTATACGAGGGGGCTGGGCTTTGGCGAACTTAAATAAGGAATGACGTTTTGAAATGAAAATTCGGTTACAAAAACCCTTTGCCATCCTGGCCCCTGTAAACGCGGCCATTACGATTCTGTCATCCTCAACTGCACCTGAATGCCCACATCTGAAAAGGTGAACAGCACATCAGCCTACCACAATGTATTCTTTTATTACCAGGTCTTCCAAGGACGTAAACGAGAAATTTAACGATATCCCACACCAGAATATGGAAATGACAATACTCCTTCCTCAGGTCGAAGTCAGAGAGGATAACTTCCCATATACTTTTATATCATTTCTTGGGAGAGATGTCTTTACCACAGTCCATAAGGTGCAGCAAAGAAAAACACGCAAATTATTTGCCTGTATGGTTGTACAAGACCTTTACAACGAACTGTCCAAGAGAGAGATTCTCTTTAAGCAGAATATTTCTGATCAAGTAAAGGCACTTCATGAGTTACGTGGACATCGGCATATTGTGGAGATAGTTGAGGCTTTTTATATACAGCGCGAACTATTTATCATTATGGCTCCAATCGCTGAGATTGATTTACATCATCTTCTACTTGATATTCGAGATAAAAACAAGCTACAAGATATGTATAAACAGCCGCTGTTGCAAGCATTCGGTTGTCTTTCTCGTGGACTTGCCTATATACATGAAAAGGGAATTTGTCATGGAGGTATTTGATTATACCCTTCTCAATACACAATAGCTGACTGGAACAGATATAACACCACATACTATCTTATATCACAATGGCTCCTGCATCTTTTCTGTGTTTGGGATATCAAGAATACTCGACGAAGCAGGCGGATTTATAACCTATACCTCGTCACCTCTAGACAAATATGCGGGCAGATATTGCCCGCCTGAGGTCTTCAAGAGTTGGAGGCGGCCAAATAGGCTTTTGACAGATGCGAAATCCGACGTATTCTCACTTGGATGTACATTCTATGAAATCCTGGCGACACTAGAGCCAAAAACGATTGAATTGCTCCCGAGTGATAAACTTTACTACCAACAAATTGGAAGAAATCAGCGACAGCTGAGAAAAGCTATAAAAAAGATACCAAGCTTGCAACGCCCACTTACACTATGCAGTATGATGATGCATAAAGTCAAGAAAAAGCGTCCTTTATCTAGTGAATTGGTGCCTTATCTCCTCGACTCCTCAATTTCTCAGCGTACTACACAGCCTGGTCACCAGCGCAGGGGCCACATAAATCTAATATGTGATAATTGCAAGATAGCTTAATAAACTAGCTAACTTCTAATTTATCTTATTTTCTCTTCTTGTTTCTAATCCGATATAGAGGAACAGGTGGAATAAATAACCAGATATCGACTTGTTTATCTTAGAAAAGCTTTGTACAATATATTTTTACCCAGAATTTGGTAAGAATAAGTCTAATTTCTCAGATTATTCAACAAGATCAAATAATAATTACAAATTCTTTCTCGAACTCTATTCAGCAGCCTCAGCCATCTAGAAAATTGATAGATGACTATTTTTTATATTGTAGACGGGCCCTAGTATCAAACCATGTTAAATTAAATATTACTATAATTGGATCACGGCATCATCTGTACATGGGTGGGCTTTCTATATAGGACTCCACATGGAGTCGTGGGTGTCTCTCTACTGTTCAGATATTTGATAGCTTCTAAATCTACACAATAACTTTATTATTCGTTTACCATACTCCAGATAAAGGTACCTACTTGTGTTTATAAAATATACCCTTACACGACTAAAGATTGCCCAGTTCGTCTTGGGTGGGCTTGCTTCATGGTAATACATCTTTTATCTTTTATAACAACTCCAGACATGCTCCTTTAGTCGCGACGGATAACAGGTCAGAAAACGAGACATATGTTGATTGTGTGAAAGGGCCTAACACCGTCCCTTGAATGAATAATAGTGGCCAGGTCTTTGCGCTGCTATTGAGGACCTCATATCTTATTCCTTTAACTCTTTCTCCGGTTCTTTGATCAGACACACTGTCTAGAAACGAGAAAAAGTACACTGTAGAGATGAGTCTCTCTAAGTTTTTATTATTACTGATATACTAAATAGATTCTATAATTAGATCTATAATCTCTTCTCTTTTATCCTGCGTTGTTGGTAGCTTACACCCACCGTAGTTAGTTATTACATAGTGTTCGGTCTCACCAAGGCCAATACAATCAACAACTCATCACCCGTTGCCCTACCACTCCTGCTGCTCCTGGAACTGGTTCTACTTGGGGCCCCGCTAGATTCGCTGTTGCTTATCTGCTCCAAATCTATAGGTAAATCTAGGGCCCTAGGGCCTCCACGGTATATTGGTGTTGGTGATGGTGATGGTGGTGGTATCCCGCTCAGGGGTGCCCATCTCGACGCGCTCGATAGGCCACCACTATAGGGGTTTGGCTCCTCTATAGCGGTTCCTGAGGTCTCAGGGAGCCTTCCCGATCGATTGACGCGTTAAAATAACGTGTTTAGGTTGGGTGTTGATTTTGATGTTCCTAAAGTCTTATGGACGATCTTTTTGCACAGCGTCGTTTTCCCAACGCCTGCACGGCCACGAATGAGGATTCTTCGGGGTCTGAAAGTCTTGTCGGAACTTGTTCGAGCGTCGAATAGTGCAAACAATTCCATCTCTTTTTCGCTAGTAGGGGCTTGAATTTCTAGACGCTAGAAAATTGAGAATTCTGAATCTCGAAGATTGGGCTTGTTAGGATTTATACCGTTCTGAGATTCCATGTCTTTAGATTCAATAATTGAAAGATTGATGTAACATTTGTCCATCTTTAACTGCGCTCCTGACAACCGGATGATTTCAAGACGACCTCCTGTCTCATAATATTGGGTGAGCTTGATATCAGCACTGAGCCTTTTGGCTTCATCGCAGCTTTTCCATGCAGCTTCCAATAGTTTTGTGTGCATCCCTCCGTTGGAGTTTGTGTTCCCAGCAAATACCTGAAGCTGCATCTGCGGCTGGCACTCTCCCTTATTACCCAAAAAGGCCAATTTTGAAAAACGTGACTTGACTTTATGATTTGTCCATTTGGGTTTATTCATGGTCGTCCCAACTACATTGACCCATTTCATCGTGCGCTTGCTTTTCAAGGATCTCGGCAGAGTTGATTCGACCACTTCCTCCACGTTCCACCTGGTGGGTTCATCTCCCTTAACCCACAGTTGCTCAAGCTGAGCATAAACACCACAGAGGAAAGTGTCATGGTCATCACAAAGTTTGTCTTCCAAGAGAGCTTTTAACATTCGAAACGCCCTTGCCTCAACTAACATTTCTGTGTAATGAAGAACAATATACGAATTTTTCCTTCTAGCCGACCTCATCGCTTCTGTAAATGCAGCATGGCCTCCACGGGAGAGATAAACCAGCTCCCTTCCTGTATTAACTATCTGCTTGAACAGCTCAAGCATCTTGAAGATACTTGGGACTGCGTCTGTAACCTTGGAAGGATCTAAGGTTGCAACCGCGCCAGCAACATTGGCCGTCGCTTGAAGCATAATCCAGCTGTTGCGGCGGAAGCTTTCCCATATATTTTCGTTATTGGCAATATTGAGGAGGCCCAAGTAAGCATAACGAGAAGCCTGTGCTAGACGCAGTTCGGGGTGCTCGCTGAGACTGTCAAGCTGCACCAAGAGTGGTTCACGTAGTTGTACTCGATCAATACCACCTACACGGAGGTCAACCATAGAGTCAATAACGCATCTAATCCTGCAGACTATGTGATATTGGGTCTCCAACGCTGCGTCCCGCACGGCACTGTCTAGTCTCCGTCTAAGGCTATCTAAAACCATCCCATGGCCTGCGTTTTCAGCAGTGAGGGTAGACTTGGCACGATGGAGGACAGTTGTAAAGTTTTCCAGCAGCTTTTGATGTATGATTGTGCCATCTTCCGTGCCCGTAATCATGGCGTTGGAAAATGCAGTAAGGATCTTACGATATTCTTCCTCGGTGCTGATTTCCGATAGGAGTGATATCTCGTTCATGTTGTCGAGGCGTGGGTTGTCCTCGAAAATCTCGATCATGCGGGCCATTAACACTTGCATTGCTCATTTCTGTTTCTCAGTGGTATCAGGGTCGGATAGGCACTGGAGAAGACCTTGTACCGTAGCTGGTTTGATGGAATAACTTCTGACAGCCGCCATGATGGGCAGTTATTTGCATGATCAGGGTTCCCCTGCGATGCATAGAAGAGATAGAAGAAGAATGCTAGAGACAGGCCGAAGGTTATGTTGAGCGTTGTGCCACTCAACCAAAATACCTTTGGCATTTGGTCGTGCCTCGAACCGAACAATCCGGCCAACAGGTTATAACTCAAGTTTCGAGCTACCAATTGCTCAGCCTCGCGCAGCATGAGTTGTCTTGTCACGTGGGCGACAAGGGTGCTCTTTGCTATTCCATCCTCTATATAATATGCCGATCCATGTCTAAGCCTTGTATAAATAAGGTCTGTTTCGCTTTCACTGTTATAATCGTGAAGTCTAGTCAAGTTATGGCGAATTTTATGTAGAGGAATCTAGCAGTCGTGAATTAGCAGTTCACTGATTGTTTCGCAAGATAAAGTTGGGATCAATGAGGCCAATATATACATTGAAACTGTGAACTAAGCCGCTAACAGAATAGACGATTTCGTAGATGTCAACTACTGGAATGGATACATATAAGGTCCAGCCAGGTTCGTGTCTTACAGGATCAACAACTAACCAATTATTTGAAGTATATAAGTTGTCAACCGGGCTCAGCCTATCGATCAACAGCCACAGTTATTGTGTAAACAGTAGGTGTCCCTACGCTTCATCTGTTACGGGGAAATCAATACTACTTCACTCATCTGTTTATATCGAGGGCCATAAAGGGCAGTAATTCGGGCATGAAGATGGGATTGCGCTTCACCCCGCGTAGGTTTATTTAGGGTCAATACGCACTGGGCTCCAAAAGTTCTTATCTCGATAAGAAAAGTAGGTGGGACGGCAGCAATGAGGCCGAGTGATCAGGGTTTTATTGTGGGTCGCTTGAAGCCAGCTCCGGTCAACATATCGTGAGAGAGATGCTCAGCCCCTGAAAATCTGGGCAATTGTCTAATACCTTAATCATATAGCAGAAATCGCATAAGACGCAAAGGGGCTTATGGTCATCGGGAATAACCCAACAACTGCCGAGAATCTGACAGGGCTACCAGGAAAAGGCAATCAATTAAACCTATTGCCAAAGTGTCTGAGCTAAACTAGTCAAGTCTCGTATAACGGCGCCAACTATACCGTAACAGCATTAACCTCCCAACGCCAAGGCAGGCTGAGGAAAATTAGAGCTCCCCTTCCGAAGCTCCAATTGGTGCGTTCGATCATCCAAGGCACTAGTTAATCCTGCTGCTCGGCCCCCAAAAGCACCCAATTTCTGCCCATGAAGAGGAAACAGTTAGCCGCAAGATGATCTCGATACAAGCGAACCCTTTAATAGGCGAAGAAAGCCCCGTGCAGGATCCTGCCAGAGTTGGATGGTTTTATAATTTGATCGGCGTGCGCTGTCAGACCCTCCGTCCTTATGTCTTGACCGAACCAAAAAACTTCAGCCATATCTTTCTACATGATGGCTTATTTGCCCCTGCGGACCCTCGCTGGTCTCGTAGCTGTCATCTACTTGTCCATACCAGTGCTATCGCTGGAAGTCCTGGACTCCTCAAAATGCCGGGGAGAATGTGGCGACAGGAAAAACACTCTCACGACTGACCTCGTCTGTCAGGATTCCTCGTTTAACACCACTGCAAACGGGATCACGATGAAAAACTGTCTCCTTTGCGAAAGCACAGGCACGACATACGTAAACGAACACGCAAGCGATACCTGGGATTTTCTCTGTATGTATACACCCAACCTAACACACCACTCCATCTACATCCCAAGACCGCAAAACTAATCACCGAGCCATACAGTCATTCAAAAATACACCCTCCAAACCTGCCTCTACGACGGTGCATCGGAAACCTCTATCTCCGGCTGCGAAGACCACTGTCTGCCCCTACGGTCAATCTACAAGGACCTCTGGTACAAAACCAATCATACAGAAGAGCTCTACTACTATTGCAGCGATGTGTTCACGCAATACGCAGGTGACTGCGCCACCTGCCTTCGGTCCAAGTCTGGGTCCGTGATTCTGGGCAATTTCATGGATAATATGGATTCCGCGTGTGAGACGAAACCGAATGCGTCTGCGGGGGAGACAATTACGCTGCGACGGCCACTTTTTGATTTGTCGACTGCTACGTCTAACGAGACTACGACGAGTAGTTCATCGGCGACGGCGACAGCGACAGGGAACAATGGAGATAATAGGGAAGCCAGTTCGTCGGGGTTGTCAACGGGGGCTAAGGCGGGTATTGGGGTTGGTGCAGGCGTAGGTGGGTTGATGATTCTGGGTGCTGCCGCTTGGTTACTGCTTGCAAGGCGGAAACGAGGGGCTGCACAGGGAGGTCCACATCAGTATGAGCCGCCATTGGAGCAGGGGCCTGCGTCGGAGGTTTCATACGGTGCCGGAATGCCTGTTGAGCAGGTTGTTGTCAAGCAGCCCGGGGAGCTAGCGGCTGTGGAAACGGCCAAGGTTGAGTTGGACGGCGGGAATGGAGGAGTCAGGAGAGGAGATAATGCGGTGGAGCTGCCATGATGAATGTATGGACGTGGTATACATAGTATGGACTATACCGTTTAATGATTATTCGATTACTTTAATTGAGCTTAGTTACATTACTCCTGTTTCGTATGTGGGAGTGCGAAACTAGGTTCCAATGGCTCCTCTGGGACACACCATCTGTCTATGTCATGCTAACCGAGAAGACCCTTGAAGAAGGCATCGAGCCCCTACATTCGGGAAACAAGTCCAGGCGGGTATCCAAAAGCACAGACGAAGATCGACAATAGGGAGTTCTATCTTTGTCATGCCATAGCGCTGGATCTGGATAAATGCAATTCGGCACCTTCCATTGCAGGCCTCACGCAAAGAGCACATCGTTGGATAAGTGCATAGTTCGTTGAAGCACCATCGATGAGGTTCATGTTTCATGATGGAATGAATTGTCGTCATTTAAGGTATTATAAGGTTCATCAGGCGTGCAGAGACAGAAGGCCCACTGAGACAGTCGCCACACTGGCCATGGATTGTGTTGTGTAGTCATAGATTCGTCATAGAGACAAGATCTTAGTTTAGCTGCGAGAGCTAGATTCTGTTACTCGTATAGGGTTCTCTCTTAAATCCTTGTGTCAGGATAGATTCTCGGCTTTTGAAGTGTGCTGTGGGGAATGCTCTTATTGCGCAAACGACCCACAACCAACGGCCAAACGATTAAGGTAGAGCTTCATCTTATACTTGGGGCTTCTTGGAAGTATATTTATTTCAGGGAAACATATCTATATACACACAGAATGCTTATTTTGCTGGTAAATGCAGCATAAGCGAATACTGATCTAAGTTCCTTCAATTAGGTCCACGTCTCTCCTCTCTCCAGAGGACTACAATATAAGCTCAAGGATCAAACTAAGATATAATCCTGTGTACAGTACACTTTCCTATGGCTAGGTGTGATTTCTGCCACAAACAAAGGGAACTAGGGATTTGGGCGAAAGTAAGGGGGTCTCAGGGTGGAGGTAGTATGATTGGCGAGCTTTGGTTGTTTTAAGTGGAGAAGCGCGGTGCACGGATGTCACTTAGATTATGTACATACTCCTTGCATAGGACGCGGAAGCCCATGTTTCTCGTGCCGTTAGTAAATTGCATGGCATGTTCCGGGCCTAATGTGAGTGCCGTCATTGCACGGACCGCGGTCGACAGCGAATTTCCCCTGGCGTGGCCTGGTAGGATGACAGATTTGCTTCATACTCGGATGACGATGGATCCACAGAGTCCCAGAAAAACGAGATAAAAAAGCATTTGTGCCACATGCCAGATCCAATGTTTCAGCTGCAGCATAAGCCACTTATAAATAAATCAATCACAGAGAGGCTCTGCTCTGATCCAGTTAGTGAGAAAGAATAACAACCGAGGATCCGGTAAGGCTATGCTCATGCTCGATAATATCGGGATAAATCAGCTCATTCGAGAATGGATCAACGTCGTATTCCAGCCAACCAATGACACCAAAAGAGCCCCCAACGCCAAGAAAGACTCGAGCAAAGACCCGTAGCTTGATTGGCCCCGTCGTCAACATACACTTTATACTGCGCCTCAGCCGTGCAAGTGGAGATTCTCCATCTCAACCCTGAAACCCTGAGTCGCCGCAGGGTCGCGGTAGTCGTGGAGCCCACTGTTATTGTCGTAGTAAACTAAATAACCCCCGAATTACAGTCACAGGATGATCGACATATATTACGAATTCCCCAATCCCAATCTCACCTCCTGCCCAACGTCGCAAATTTCACCCCGACAACACCACCCCGGGGCCGTATCCTATGTATACAGAATGACCTGTCCATCATCACGGACGACGCGGATCCTCCTCCTCGGACTTCTAGCCGTCACATACCTTTTTACGCCCGTACATTCTCTAGCCACGATCCCGAGTTCGAAATGCGTTAAAAGCTGCGGAAGCAGCCGTAAAACCACCGCCGATGACCTCGTCTGTCCGGATGCAGCCTATAATAGCACCGCGAAAGGGAAGACCGTGAGAGATTGTCTATTATGTCAAAGTACCGGAACAGCATATATCAACGATGAGAGGAATGATATTTATACCTTTTTGGGTATGTGGCCGGATGGCGCGCCCATGACCCTGTTCACGTCTTCGAAGGAGGCTTTTTAGCATCATCTAACATTCGATCTAACTGGAAAATAGCTACTCAAAAATTCACCGTTCAGAGCTGCCTTTTCGATCGCAACGGCTCCTCCATATCAGGCTGCCAGGACGAATGTATGCCCCTAAGAAGCGTCTACAAGACCGACTGGTACGGCGGTAGCAACTTCACCCCAATTTATACGTATTGCGACGACGCCGGGTTCCAACAGTATGCCGACAAGTGCGAATCGTGTCTACATGGTAAAAATGGGACTTATATTCTCGGGAACTGTGAGTTGATACTCCGCGCCAGTGTTTGGGGAGATAAACGGATGACGAAAGTACCCCTAACAATGAATCACTATTTTAGTCATCGACAACATGGTTTCAGCTTGCACAAATAAACCGAATGCCTCAGAAAAGCAGATTGTCAACGTCCGTCAACCCATCTTTCAAGTGCCTGCCTCAGAAGCGGTGCCCGACGAAAGCGATTCCTCCTCGGGCGGTTTATCAACAGGTGCGAAAGCTGGTATCGGTGTTGGAGTTGGTGTCGGTGGACTGATCATTGTGGGGGCTTTGGTTTGGTTTTTCTGCCTCAGGAAGAGGTCCAAGAAGGTCGACGCCCATCAGTATGAGCGGCCTTGGCAGCAGGAGAATCCGGGTGTCCCTGTGCTGTCGCCTGATCCGCGGAGTGGACCACCGAGTGAGATGCCCGCAGAGACGGTGGTGAAGGGCCCCTCGGAGTTAGCAGGGGAAGATAATACGAAGGCGAAGATGGGCTCGGAAGGAAATGAAGGGGAGTATGCAAAGGATAAGAAGGAGCGACAATCCGCGGTCGCGGAGCTGCCATAATGAATGATACCCGGTTGAGGTTAGGGTTCGGTAGGGGGTTTGTATGTGTATATATGGGTTACGATTTGGCATTGTTTATGCATCGGGCTTCGAGGCCAGATCTAGGCAATTGATATAGACCAGCTTAGCAGCATAGCAGCCGCAGAAAAGACACAGCGAAATGACTTTAATTGACTAATACTACTGCAAGTCACGATTATATTCAAGGTCCCGTATTCTGGATGAAATGCAAGACACTACGATTATTGGGTAGACGATGTCCCTAATCTGAACACGGTAAACATTGGCTATCTAAGGCAAAGGTGATACAACTTAGAGAGAATTACATCTCCATAATTGAATAGATGTAATCAACTATATACAAATGTTCAGGACTACAGGGTAGGACAACGTGATTGCCGTGGCATCCGTATTAACGCTATAGCCCCAGCCGTTCGGTTCCATAGCAACGCGGTACATTGTGCTCCATGAGCTGACACCGCAAGAAATGCAACTGTGATATGGCAGTTCCATTCTGTCGGGCTTTGGCTTCTGCAGGACATGTGTAATTGGGCCATCAAGTGCTCCGTGAGGCCCGACTTGAATGGTGCTCGACTCTCGGGGCCCTCAGCACATCTCGTGTAGTGTGGACTTGAACTCAACCAGCTGTAGCACGCCATCCATCCAATATGTGGGGTTTAGTGCAGCGGCTTTAGACCTGAATTTGTCCTGCAATTCATTGGCGTTAGAAACACAGTGTTGGTGATGCTCAATATTAGGTTAATTATGCCAAACAAAGAATCGAATAGGTACATCATGGTAGAAAGTGCTCCCTATTCCTACTCCTTCGCTGTCCAGCTGGTACACTTCTCTCACGTCAAACCTCCCGAACGAAACCTTTGACCACGCACCACGTCCTCGTTCAATCATTTCCCATACCTTTTGCGAACTCGTTACACCCCCAAAACATCTACACCCCGTGTTAATTTTTCAATCCCGTGTAGATGGGTCGAGGAAGGAGATGCAGCAGTTCTGGCAACCGTCCGAGGTATGATTCAGAGATTTGTCGACTGACATGAAGTCGTTTCCGTGATGAAAAAGAGGTTCTGGTATGGGATTTGATACAGCTTCATAGCTGCCCCAGACAAGCAAGCCTCTATCCGGGGCCATGTGCAACCGCAATCAATCTTGGACAATAAACCAGAATGCACGATTTGCACATTAGTCGCTCTGTACCTTCGAGGTACCTTGCCATCGTGCTATGCATGGGGAGATACCGGGGAGACTTCAAGCCGGGAGGCAGCGTCGCCTGGTTTGTCGACTGTCACGATAGGCCCCAAGCAGAAACGACCGATTGGACGGGAAGCAGTCGGTCTAGAGGATACGACGTGCGAGGCGATGCTACCCTGGAGAATCCGAGCATGGGTGATACACAAATAAGTAATACTCTTTCGTAGTATATCCAAAAGGGTTTAAAATAAATCCATGGCAGATTGGCCTGAAACAATATACGGCAAGGCGTCAATAGTCAATAAGGGTTACTGTACGGAATACGGAGAGCCGAACCCCGTGTCTTAGTGAGACTAGGCAGTGGTGAACTGAACCTAACTTTACATGACAGGGGAGTCTGGAGTATGACATAGGTTCAAATCCGCTTTATGCACTTTGACATGCCGTACGTAGTTTCATGGCAATCGTCCATGGCAATCATCCCTCTGTTCCCAACCATGGATGAAATTCGGGCTAGGATTTGGATCGATTCTGGACCTTTTATGTTATCGCCTCCTAATATCCACGGTGGCAAGCCATACTTACCTGGTCAGGTCATTTCTCAAAGTCTTGGAGGTATGTAATTCCATTGACACCCCCTATTCAGGATGCCTCTGCGAGCCAAAGTGATGCAGGCCTCGCATTTTCCTTTATCCCAGCTGACGATGACTCCACCCTATGGCGACGGTTACGACGTGCCACCTAGAAAGTTTAACATAATTGCTGCGTCGCTCATGCTCTCCCGCTTTCGCGATGCTCAGTCAACGGACCAACTGCAGCCCCTACGCTTGGGTAACGGGACAGTGACCTCGGCCATTCTGTTCCTATCCCGAACTGCTTGCTTACCCCCAGTACATACCATTTGCACGATGGCCATCTTGGTGAGTAGCACATACGTTGGGGCACTGAAAGACAGCACTTTCAATTCTCCCGGCAAGGTTGGCAAGGCCGACATTGGTTCCAATTATATGCATATTTCCAAGCATTTTATGTGGAACCCACTTATAGTTCACCACCTAGTTGGCATGAATCACGTGGGTTAACAAGTACCCCGCCACTGAGTTTCCTACGCTGAGTTGAATACTGATAGCCGCCTCGAACTGCATTCAAGTATAAGTTCAACATGTCAGAAAAAGACTTCAGCCAAATACAACCCGCAGATGAGGGCTTTTCACTTGAGCAAATCGACCCAGACGGGAATGTCATTCTTCTTGTTGAAGGTCGGAGTACAGCCCGGTTTCTTGTATCATCCAAGATTCTTAGCATGGCCTCGCCAATGTTTGCAAAGTTATTTGATTCCAATTTTTCTGAGGGCATTCAGGTGGCATCCTCTAGTTGCCCGACAATATCCCTTTATGAAGATGACATAGTAGCAATGAGGACCATCCTTAGAATCCTTCATTACCAGGGGCCAAGGCAGGACAGTCCTATAACTGCAGAGGCGTTCGCAATTCTCGCTATTCATTGCAATAAATATGACTGTATCAGGGCTATCTTTCCTTGGACTTTCAAATGGTTTAACGACCTTGAATCTATTAAGACTACAGAGCAATATGGCTACCTTCTTCTTGCTGCGCATTTCTTTCGCTCTGCAGAGCAGTTCCGCAAAATATCGGCGAGGGCTCAGGTACAGCTTTCATCTAGTTTCTGTGTTAAGTGGGAGACGCTGGAGATTATGGACCTTTTGCCTGATGCTATGAAAAGTACGTCTTACTATATGTACAGCTAGGGCAAATTATCTTACAATTAACAGACAAATTGATGGATCGAATCGAGAAGCTACTGAGCAAAATACACACAGAACTGCAGGCTGTGGAGGTTTTGCTAAGAAAGAGTCAAAAATACTACATAATGGACGGCATGGTATGCGCGAATTGCGCGAGAACTCACCCAGTTGGAGCACGCAAGTGCCATCCCTGCAAGAACAGCGACCTAATTACCAAGTACTGCAGTAGTGATAGTCGGATAGCAGAGTATTTCGCAACTTTGGGTAAAGCAAATCTCTGGCCATCCGTTGAGCCCTTCCAATCATGTTCTGCAACTGAAATTGCATTGCGTATATCGCAATCAGCACAAATCCTCAGGCACAGTTGTCAGGCACCAGAGTGCCCTCTCCAGTCAGAATTGGATATGCTAGTCAGGAAGATTAATGGGGCCATTGGCAGTGTCAAAGGACTTGGCCTGTACCCTCTTCATTAGTCCTCGCCTAGGATTTGAAGTTACATGAAGGACCAAATCATATGTTGGAAATGACGATACTCTAGACGAGACTTTCGATGGATTATATGCTTTGGATTTTGCTGTTGCCAAATAAACTTCAACGCAATGTTGTTCCCCATACCGAAAGCTGCTACATTTAATACATCCCTGGACCGATTGAAACGGCTCACCACTGTCTTCACGACTTCATTCAGTTCTACTCGTAAATTTCCAGGTAAACATTCATTTTAAAGTACTTTAGCATTACAATGATCTCTAATTGTAGAAATACTACCACATAATACCTAGAATATTGGCGATAGAGTCCATTTCTCCATTATGGTCAACTTAGAAGAATCGTGAATACACCGTCACTGACTAGGCGAATGCACACGGTAGTAGTTAAAGTACTGAATCCTTTGATGGCAGTTCCCCTGCAGTTGCGACAATTTTGATATGCTCATCTGGGCTCTGAAGAAGCGTTTTGAAGCCGTTCTCCACGAGGTCTTCCAACGCAATACGCCGTGTGACCATGCGCTCCACCCCAGCAAACTTGCCTATCTCATAGTCAGCCTCACTCAATCTAGTACATAGTTTTTATCTATACCTTCTGTGAATGCAGCCACAGTAGCCTTAAAGTCAGCATCATCATACGCCAAGAAGGACCTGTATGTCAGTTCCTTCCGCATGAAATACATAGCCGGTAGCGAGATCTGCAAAGACAGATTAGCGACATAGAACATGAAGCAAGTAGATGTCAAAAACAATCATACTGGGGACTTCGGCACTGCCAGGTTGATATATAGGCCATGGAACTTGAGGCTATCACATGCGGCTTCCAGCCCTTTCTGGGATCCAGCACAGTCGAAGACCATCCCTACACCACTTCCATTCGTGAGCTTCCTACACTCCGAACCAACATTGACCTCGATCGGATCAAATGTAGCCTGCACCAGGTCTTCAAGGAACTCCCTACGACGACGGGCCGTTTCAGAAACATAGATCTCATCTGCGCCCCATGCCCTTAACACGAAAACCGTGGCTACACCAACTGGGCCACCACCTATTACCAGAATGGGTAGACCCTTGAAGTCCTTGACACCGGAGCATCGAACGCCATGCCAGGCAACGGCGAGAGGCTCGATAAGGGTTGCTGTAGCCATGTCGATATTGTCAGGGATGGGATGAAGCATAGCCGGTGGTACGGAAACTTTCTCGGAGAAACCACCCCCTCCTCCAGAGAGACCTAGAAAGCCAAGGGATTGGCAGCAATTTGTGACAGATGAAGAACATGCCGTGCAGGATGAACAATAGAATCGAGGGTCGATGATGACTGCTTGTCCCGGGGAAAGTGAGGAAGTCGATGGTGCTTGAATAATGCGTCCAGAGAGCTCATGGCCAAGCGTTACAGGGAGAATATCACCAGTGAGGGGGTGCGGACCGGTGCGCGTGTGGGGTATCGACATAGGCCCTTGGGGGCCGTTAGTCCTATTTGGCTGTGGAGCAAGTGAGGCTGTCAGTTAGACCTCACCTTGAACATATTCGTTGATATCGCTTCCACATATCCCGCACCACTCGACTTGAATTAGGGCCTTCTCATCTGATGCTTTGGGGTCTTGGACATCCTCGATGCGGATGTCCCCGGCTGCATAGAATCGTGCTGCTTTCATCTTGACTGGTTGAGTGTGTGGGTGGACACTGTGTTAGAACAAGAATCTAACTAATAGCCTGGTTGTGGGAGCTATATATCGTCAAATCCAACTCAGAAATATGCGCGGATTGAGGCTGTCGTTGCTAAAAGAACTTCCAGAAATAGCTACACCTAGACTAACCCCGAAACGCATCTCGGGCCTCGGCCATCCACGACGACAAAAGTATGCCTTTAGTCATTTTGGTCAGTCGGATAACCGAATACTAGATCTAATGTGGAGACTGGCGCCTTGACTGACCAAGCAAAACTGACATCGTCAGGTCAGCTGGTGTAGTGTAGTTGTCACTGTGTCAGTACCCTACAGATACTTTCATGATATGTAAGATAAATCAGTACTGCTACAATTAGTTAATGGATGGTTTAATCGCTTTACTTCCGTCTTGTCAAGCTTGATAGAGTTATATACACCAGAGGAGAATCAATGCTATCTCAACTGAAAGAAGCTAGTATAACGAACCCAGTTGGAGACTGTTTCAATAATGCCCTGTGATAACTACCTAAGCAGACCAACATCCCACAACGTAAGAGAAACAATGTAGTATCCTCAAGATTTATAGTATGCTCTGGGGACATTATCATAATAAGGAACCACCACCATTCCAGGCTCATCAGTTTGACCGACCATAGAGACCGTAATAGGATGAATAGGCTTATCATCCACGACCAGCTCGATGCAACTAGGCCCAGTTTGATTCAGCAATTCTGCAAACGCAGGGGCCACATCATCGAGAGTCTGTATCTTCACACTGGTATTCCCCAGTGCCTTCGCCACAAGGCTGTAATCCGTGACAGGACTCAAATGGCTGACAGGACGTGCAGGAGTCTTAGTACCATAGATCAGGTCCTGCCCATTAGAACTCATTCCCCAGCAGTAGTTATTGACTACAATCGTCATGATTTCCAGATTGTGTCGTTTGTAAGTATCGAGGTCCATGAAATGGAACCCTGCGGATCCATCGCCGTGCAAATTAATGACCTTCCGATCAGGGCATGCAACGGCTGCTCCAAGCGCATATCCAAAACCGTTGCCTAAAAACCCAAGACCTCCCGATGATTTCACTATCGCACTGGGCGAGCAGATGGATATCACTTCACTTGCCCAAAGTGGCGCTTCGCCACCATCAAATATAACAATGCTCTCTTTCGGAACAGAGCTTAAGACATGCTTGAGTGCGTGGTATGGATGGAGACGTCCTGATGGCTGAACTTCTGCTTGTTGTTCATATGGTGATTGCAGGTGCTTAAGACCAAGGATATCATCCACCCACTTGGTGTCAACGGAGCCCTGGAATGGGGCGGCATCAAAATGGCGGTTCAACCCAGCAGCGAACTGGGTAACATCACTGATAGCTCCTAGATCAACTGGAAGTGTCCTGCCAATTTCTGCGCCGTCTACGTCTACTTGGACTAGCTTGCAGTCCTTCCCGGGTATAATCGCACCAGATCGACCCCCGAGGAACATACCGGTCCTGGCACCGAGGAGCAGGATGAGATCTGGCTTCTGTATACCGACGCGCGGTAGAAGGGCAAGGGTGCTGCTGCCCCCTCCATTGAATGCAAATTGGGAAGGAATAAAAGACATTTTGCACTTCATCGAATCGAAAATTGGAAGTCGACATGTTTCCGAGAGCTTCATGAGACTTTCTGCTGCCTTGTAGATATTTGCAAGGTCAGCCATGAAATACACCAGTGGTATGAATGGCATTTTACCTCTCTGGAGTTACCTCCTGTCCCTAGGATGATCAAAGGTCTTTTCGCAGCGTTCAATAGTTCAACTGTCCCCTCAATCGCTGCAGTGTGTGGACCAGGTCCATATGGGAAAGGCGAAGAAACTGATCCCCAGGATATGAGAGGCTTATGTACAGGAGTGAATAACACATCAATCGGGAAGTCAAGCAGAACAGGGCCTATTGACAGTAAGTATTTGAACTGATAGAATGACTTGAGGGCAACAGCGTAGAAGCACCTACCCGGAGCACCAGAGACCGCAACGCCTAGGGCATGTTTAACGATCCGTGGAGTATCCTCAGGGTTCGTCATCCGATAAGCGAACTTTGTAAGTGGGCGAGAGACAACGACCTGGTCAATTATTCCCTGAAGGGAATTATTCTCTGCATCGCGAGTCGGAGGCGAGGATGTTATGCAAAGAATTGGTGACCGATCGGCCAGAGCTGTCGCCAGACCTGGGATACCATTGGAGAAGCTTTTGAATTAGGTGAGCTCTCATCAGATAGAATGCAACCCGGGGACTGAGGTGCGCACCCGCTGTTTGCCGTGACAAAGCAGACACCAATCTTTTTGGAGAATTTGGCGTAGCTTTCGGCTGCCTGGACAGCGACGGTCTCGTGTCGGGTATCGATCAACCGGATTTGAGAAGCTTCACAACCCTGGAGAAATGCATCGAGATGCCCACCATGTAGACCAAAGGCTACCTCAACTCCGAGGTGTTTGAGCGTCTGCGCGAGGAGATCACCGCCGTTTAGCTCCCTGTTGTGCTCTTTTAGCGGAAACCCAGTCATTTTGGGTGACACTATTCGTATACTATATTGAAGTCACTTGCGTGGAATCTGAAGTGGTGTAAGAAGTATAACCTCTGTGCTCAAGTATAAGTAGTTATTCCCATCACTGCCTTTTACCATTCCTCGGAGTCTCCATGGTCCTCCTTGGCTTTTACCCGAGGCAATGATTGACAATGCGGAGATAGAAGAGCGAAGCTGACAACGCCAAGCCGACTTCACAAAACTGACAAAGTGTAGCTGACACCGCTAGCTCGAGGATTGCCGATGATACATTCGATAATTGGCAGGTGCACTAGATGCAGACATACCCCACAGTGGATATTGCGGGGAAATGACAAAGTCACTTTAGCATGCAGTTGAGGATATGTAAAATTGCCATGGTTTTTATAAATAGAGATTCGTCATGTCGACGTATGCTACCTCTTTAACAGCCGCTATTGCATGCATTGGCAAAATTAAATTACAGTCAATAGCCAGCAACTGCCCCTGCCTCAATAAACCCATTTGGATCCAGAGAACCAATCAGTATACTAGTCGAGGCCTGTAGGCGCCCTTCCAGTGAGGGCATTGGTCCATTCGCAACAAGCATCTTGAGTGCAGGGTTTGAGCGAAATTGCCATGACTTTAAGTCGTAATAAACGTTGTTGAATTCAATCGAAAATTGGAACTTGCCTTCCTCTTCGTGGTACCTATAGGCATCTCGAACCTGATATGGCCAACTCAGTTGGATTTCTGCCGCATAATGCGCCGCTGCTGCTTCAGGAGTATGGGATATTTCGGAGGCGATTAAGTGGTCACGAAGGTTTGGCCTAATCTCTGATCAGTACGCAACATTGAGGAATGTTCCCGCCCTCTAATGCTTACCACACAAAAAAGTCGATAATACACGCGTGAGTAACAAGGGTTTGCATGGTGCTAGTGTTACGCACTACTTAGCTTCATATTAAAGGAGGAGGGCTGGTACGTACGTGGGGAACATGAAAGACGGAATCTGGCTAGTGGAGTGCTCTGGGGACCCGTTCTTCGACTACTCAAGGTTACAAGAAATACGCAAATAGTTACTTGTGTCCACCCACCATCAGCATGGATCGCATTAAGCGCAAGATGGCCAGGCGCTCCACAGGGCCAGTGCGGCGAAATAATCCTTGGTCTAGAGCGCTGAGAAAGTTCCAGCCACGGTCGAGTGGCTTATCCTCCTTAATGGTATCCCATCCGTGTAAGATGGCCCGGATGGCTAAGTCATCGTCGTCCTCGGCGGAAGTTTTCAGTGGGCCACCACTGAGTACATGAACCAGAGACTCATCCACAACCTGGAAGTAATTTACTTGCCCATTCCCACAGGCCAGATTGGCATATGGTGAAGGAATGTCCTTTAGCTTATTGTTGTTATGAACCTGCCTGCCACGGCTACTATTGGGGGATATATCCCCCGCTGCAAATGTGGGTTCCATCTGAATTTTGCGATTATCGATTCGTTGGGTCGTTTGATCCTCGATAGCTACGAGCGGCCAGCTATTCTGTGTCACCGGAGAATCTTTAGGCATGATCTCAGTGATGGAGGGTGATATGGACGAAGAGGCCGCGTCAAGGGCAGTTCGCAGGACTCCATTAGCTTGCCGTATCGCCCTCTTAAGCTGTTCGATCTCCAGCTGCTTTTCTTGCAGCTTCTGTAGTAGACTGTGCTCGGAGCCTTCCTGGGATGCCTTTGTAAGCTCCTCAACGGTAGTCTCGAGTTGACTGATATACGTCTTGACACGTTCTCGGTGGTTTCTCTGGGCTCTGCGGTCCGTGATACGTTTCCGATCGACCTTAGCAGTGTCCCGTTGGTTACCGCGTGTACTCATGGTGTATGTGGCTAAAACGAATTCGATTGCTCTAGTAGCTAGAGAAGGCTGGAGATAGTTATCAATGATCCTTCTCCGCACTAGATCCCGTCACGTGGAATCTGGGGTGAGGGGGTGTGGGGCCTTAAAAGCACCTCAATTACGGCCCTCTATACGGAGTATTCTCCTGATTCTCGAGCGGGGAACGGAGATCAATGCGGCAGAACATCAGTGTCTGGAAACCGAGCGTTTGTCGAGATACCGCTACGGAAGGGTGCGGATGTTGACCATCGCACAGAGAAATCTTCAATGCCTGGCCAACCAACATTGGCATCTTCACGTTGTGGAATTTCTCCTCAACGAGGCAAAAGCTGATGAACAGAAAGACGCAATTTAAGTCGATACCCTGTCTGTGTGACCGGACGACTACGGTTCACTCATACTCGGTATCCTTCTGTGAGGGATCTCCCTAACACCTGCTCTAGCCGGATGGAGGTATTCAGGCAGTTCTGTGGAGGTGGGTGACGGCTCATTTCAAGGGGCCAAAGCCCAGCTTCTAAGGACTGTAGTAGTTGGCAAATACCATTGAGCGTTGCAGCAGACCATAAATAAGCAACGACGGTTGGCATCCTTGTTCTGAAGCTGGTCAACTCCAGTCGTGGGTGCACCGCTGATAGTAGCACTCGAAGGGGACGTGCTTCCCTTGGATGTTTATTACACTACAGAACGTTGTATGCGGGATGCTTATACATATTTGGCATATTCTTACTTTCGTCTGCCAACCCTGGTGAATGACTTCTTTGAGACGGGAGTGAACAAGCATTCCCAGTCTTACTAGAGCATGTGGGGCAGGACTGTGAAGAATAAGCGCTGCAATGTTACAAGGTTGTGGAGACTCTGACAGCCCAAAGCTAGAGAATTCGGTAGTCTTTCGGTCTTTCAACCTCCCTGCTCTTTGTGGTAATCAGCGCTTCAGCGACTTTGCTTGCACGCGCAGGTACCAGACTACATAATGCATGCATTAAGGCAGCAAGGCAGCAGTTCCCGCGCGGGAACTGCCGAACCAATGACCGGATTGGGGGTTACTATTGTTACATCGTCAGCCCTAAACGAGCAATAGTGTATTGGCTCACTTTGGGTCAGATGGGGAAGAAGGATAAAGCGGGTATCGATAAAGCAGACTAATCGATTTTTAACTAGCTCAGGAGAACTAACGCTGAAATTTTCTCTCAACGTTTCATCATTTAGACCAACCAACATCATGGCTCCTGGACTCTTCCAGCTCGGCAGCGGCCTCTACACTGGGCTCGCTATCCTCCTACTACTCTCTTGGACACTGACAGCACTCGCTTTCACTGCTCTCAACGTACTGAACAGTAAAAGCACCTACCTCGAAATCGTCGCATCGAGCAGTCTCCTTACTTTCCTCGTCTGTCGTCTTCTCGTTGCCTCGAATCCGTCGATTCGCCAAGATGATACTATTGCTCGGTTAATTGCGTCCGCAGACTATGGGTCGCGCCGGGGCGCTGTCGTTCTATTTGGCCTGTGCTGCACATGGCTATACGAACTGCTTAACCAAGTGGTGCTGTTATTTTTCATGACCATTTTTGGGAGTGTCATGGCCACCGCGATATACAACGATGCATTCACGGACACCGGAGTTGATAGCGATGAGGGTACAACGGCTGTGTCAGTCGAGGTGAAAAAATTCGAGGACATGGCTGGGTTTGATCCGACGGAGATGTTCAAGTTGATTCCGCCGCGACTGTTGGTTTATGTTGTCGCACTGGTATGGTTGAACTTTCTGAGCTTGGGGACTTATGTGCTGGGTCATGCAGCGATGTCGTTGAAGAAGGTGTTGGGTTCATCTGTAGCTGTCGGGAGGAGTGTTACGGCTGGTGAGAACGAGCCGGTAGGTGAATAGTATTAGATGGTGTGTATGGCAATTATTTGGCGCTACTGTCGCCTATACGATGGACTTGTAGAAAACAACTGTGCTGATAAATTAATCGGCTACACGTCGGATTGACCACATATAATTTTTGTACTCAATACAGCCTACTGACCATTTAACCCTCTTAGCCCCTTACTCATGCCACATTCCTGTAAGATATTCGTGGATGCCTATGGAACTAGGCGTGCAGCTACGCTAGACTTAGTGTTATAGTTTTGCTGACCATTGGGACTGGGCTAGACCTCGCCGTCACCCGGGGGTAACATCAAGATGATCTATCTATAGGCAGGGCTAGTCATATCAACTTATCCACTATAAAAATAATTACAGGGGAGTCAACCGGGTCTTTATGGTTATGCGGAGACCTCCGCAGTACCCGGTCTTCCGGTATAAGGGATGGAATATAGAATCTTCAGAATAAGGATAGTTAAGATGAGTTGGACCGAGTCGGCTGCCCTGAAACAATGTTCGGCTTAAAAGCATCCATTAATTGCTAGAGGAACCTTTACACACTGATTTTTCAACTATGACATGCTTAATTACTTCCCGGTGCTTGCTTTTCCCTCCATTCTCCGGAGGACTTCATCCTCACTAATAGGATTGCCAAGAATGCTTTTTACAGCACTGAGGAGTCCTCCCTCTGCCTGGTCAATCTCCTTATATTTACCCTCCCAACTGTAAATCAGATGGCCATTCCTTTCCGAATCAGCAAAAAGAAGCGCCACACTTCTCGCCACGACATCCGGATCTTGCGTAATCACCCCCAACGACGCAAGGAACTCGGAGGAAACAAGACCACTTGACGTCCACGATGGTGCAATTGCGTTCACCCGAACATTCCCGGGTAGTTGAGCGACTAAGCTACGCATAAGGCCCAGGACAGCATGCTTGGCCGTCGCATAATCAGGAGCGCCAAAGGTCTGGAATGACGATGCGGAAGCCGTGAAGACAATACTTCCGGTGGCCACTCCGTTGTGCTGTCCTGCAAACTCCCTGAAAAAGTGAACTGCTAGTCTGGCTGTGTATATCGCTCCATTCAGGTTGACGTTGAGCACCTTCATGTCTGGGGGAGCGAGCTCGCCGTTTTCATCAAGTGATTCCTCCAGAAAATTCGTCCTCGGAGCAATACCGGCGTTAGCGAAAACGTGGTCTATTTGACCAAATGCTTTCACAGCTTCGTTGAACAGGTTTCGCAGACTGTCCCAGGAGCTGGTGTCCGTGGTGACAAACTTCAGATTCTCATTGCTCGACAAGTCAGATGGAGGGGGGTTGATGTCTCCGATGACGACTTTTGCTCCTAGTTGAAGACATAACTCAACTGTCCCTCTGCCGATGCCCGAGGAGCCGCCTGTCTTAATTTATGAGATTTTTTCTATAATATGCATGACTTAAAGATAAGCGAACCTGTAATCAAAATGGCTTTGTCCTTAATCTTCACTAAGACTTCATCAGGAATTTCTAGACTGGCCATTGTGTTGAGCAAATTTGACTCTATTAGGTATGTCAAGAAGTGATGGAGATTGCAGCTTCCAGGCCAATACACTTCTCTTATATTCTTAGTCAAGATGATTGTCTGCCTAATAGTCAACCTTTGTCACCTCTGTCTTCTCGGCGTTGTCAGTTCGGCTGTGTCAGTTCAGCTTGGTCAGTTTCGATAGTTTTATCCAAGGATGACCTGCTTAGTAACTACAGCAGGAAGTTGCTTCGTATTTCCCCTAGGTCAATAGGTCTGAACCTATTCTAGCCTACTATAGCAAATACTATCTTTCAATCGGGACAGTCTAAAACTCCAATGCAGTTAACCATCCTACTTGCCTACGCAGGTTTCTAGCGTATCCAGCCCCTTCCTACTTTGCAGCAACTCAAGCGCATCTATATACTCCTGCTTCCAAGCTTCTTCCAACCTAGTCGGATTCCAACCGAGCAACCTCTTCGCCACGGTCCCCTTCATCTTCTTATGCCCAGCAATACCCCGCTCAGCTACATCCAAAAGACCCGCCATGAGCTCATCCGCAATTTCCTGAAGGCCCATCAACCGAATCTCCTTTTCCTGCGGCGTATCATCACGAGGCAGAACACCCGCTTTAAAAGCAATATCTAGACACTCCTGCATAATCTGGGTTATAAGCACCCGTTCGACAGCAGGAAAGATGATCCCATTCTTGCCGGAGGGAATATACCCCACACCACGGTCCTCACGTTCGAGAATAGCACGGACGATGAGCACAAACAAATCAGCCAGATCTTCGACATGCACCCAGTCGAAATTCGCCGTATCGTTCAACTTATACCCATATCCATGCTTGAGGATATAGCGCATCGCGACTAACTGGACGAGACCCTGGGTGTTGAAAAGCCCGCGACCAGTTCCGAAGATGCACGGCGCGTTGAGACTCACAGCCTGCACGCCCGTTTCTTCAGCGGTGGTGAGCACGCCCACTTCAGTTGTTCGCTGCGGGTAGGGGTCACGGGCGTCCTCGCTCTTGAGGAACTCGTAGATGGCGTTGCCGTTGGCGTCGTCCCATTCTCTGTCTGGGTAGGCGGTTGCCGTCAGTGGACGGTCGGCAAGATTCGTGCACCCAGCGATGTGTATGAACCATGGGACTGGTGCGCCCGGTTTAATTCGCCGGGCGAGCCCGTGGATGAAGGCTTTTGCGCCCTCTGGGATGAAGCCCGTGCCGGCGTTGATGATGATGTCGTAGTTGGCGGCTGTGTCGGCCACGAATGCGAGATCTGTGAAGCCTTTCCAGAGAATTGGCTTGACGCGATCTCCATATGCATTTCTGAGTTTCTCGGCAGCGTCATAACTTCGCACGAGGAGGTCGAAGGTTAAGTCTTTGATGCTTGCTGCTTCGCTCTTGATGAGGTCGTCCAGGACTGTGCCGCCTATGTAGCCGGTGGCCCCGGTGAGGAGGATTTTGGTCATGGTGTCTATTTTCCTTCCAATACTGATATGGAAATAAATGCTGGAGAATCATATAATTCTCTTCACGAAACGAGAGGTATACGTGTCCAAGGGGGCAGTGTTCTGGACTATCTCTTTAGTATCGGGTAGCGCTCTTGGCTTTCTGGATGGATATATGGTTCTGTCTTCCTCGGTTCCTTCGGCCATTGTAGATCCTCGGTGTTCAAGTATTGTGATGGTGCTGTGTTTAAATTCTATTATAATGCATGGGGCTTCGTCGGATATTCTCAACCTATCGTAGTGAAGTTAGTAGTTAACGACAGAATGGGTTATGTAGATTTCGAGTATATATATCGAGACAAACGATACCAAGCATGTAGTCTTGCGTATAACTGAATAATGATGGACAGTAAATATTTACTTCTCCCATTATTTATCTCTAAATGTCAGTGACCATGCGTACCCTGCGACAAGGAATCCAGGCCCGGATATATATCCCAGCCACGACATCGGCAAGGTATCCGAAGAACAACTTCATCCAAGTTCTTAGTATCGCATGCCCTTCTCCAACAAGATAACCTTATCCAAATTAAGAAAAAAAAAAAAATTAAAGCAAAAAGCCAAGTACGTACGTACGTAATGTATCTAATCAATCAATCAATTAATTATCTTATCGTCCCCCACGACATCTACCCATAGCCGAAGATCTGTCGGAGCAAAAGATAACGGACAACCTCCGATATCTCATCTGCGGGGACGAAGATGATTCCCCTCAGACTTACCACGATAGACTATAGTTTAGCTGCAATATAACCATGATTAGAGGATAATCCTGACAAGAGGGTATACTCCGAATTGGAGAAGGAGGGGTAGTACATACTATACATCCCTGTATTATGCCCTACGTACTACTACACTTATCATATATATATATATATATATATATATATAAATAGTCGATACCTACAGTACACTTGTCTACATCAACCTACATCCCTATCTATACGCTTCACTATACAACTCTACAGTAACACATACCTTACTACCCACCTCTCCATTAACCACCTACCAACGAAACAAAAAGAAAAACAAAATGTCCGACATCCCTCTCCCACCCCCCTTCGCCACTATCCCCCGAACCCCCCTAACCCTCGGCCCCTCACCCATCCACCCCCTCCCCCGAATAACCTCCGACCTGGGCCAAAAAGCCACCATCTACGCTAAACGCGACGACCTCAACTCCGGCCTCGCCTACGGAGGGAACAAAACCCGGAAACTCGAGTACCTGGCCGCGGACGCGCTGGCGCAAAACGCCACGACGTTGGTATCTATCGGCGGCGTGCAAAGCAACCACACGCGGCAGGTGGCGGCGGTGGCGGCGCGACTGGGACTGAAGGCGCGGCTGGTGCAGGAGCATTGGGTGGACTGGGAGGATCCGGGGTATGATGTGGTGGGGAATATTCAGTTGAGTCGGTTGATGGGGGCGGATGTGAGGATGGAGGATGCGGGGTTTGGGATTGAGCATAAGGAGACGCTGAAGAAGCTGCGGGAGGAGTGTGAGGTGAATGGGGAGAAGCCGTATTATATTCCTGCGGGGGCGTCCGATCATCCGCTGGGGGGGTTGGGGTTTGCGAGGTGGGCGTTTGAGGTCAGGGAGCAGGAGAGGGAGATGGGGGTGGTGTTTGATGATGTGGTGGTTTGTGCGGTTACGGGGTCGACGATGGCGGGGATGGTGGCCGGGTTTAAGTTGATCGAGAAGTTGTATCCTGGGGAGAAGAAGAAGAGGGTGATTGGCATTGATGGGTCGGCGAAGCCGGTGGAGACCAAGGCGCAGGTGTTGCGGATTGCGAGGAATACAGCTGTGAAGATTGGACTGAAGGAAGAGGATATTACTGAGGAGGATGTGATTCTGAATGAGGACTATCATGCCGGCACGTATGGCATTCCCGATAAAGGGACGTGGGAGGCCATCGAGTACGCAGCCCGGATGGAGGCGTTTATTACGGATCCGGTATATGAGGGTAAGAGTTTTGCGGGCATGGTGGACTTGATTAAGAAAGGGGAGATCACGGGAAATGTGCTCTACGCGCATTTGGGTGGGCAGTTGGCACTTAATGCTTATTCGCGTATTGGGGAGACGAAGTAGGGAGGGAGTTTCTTTTTATTTTGAGATACTATGGAACAGAATACATGCATCTACAAGGTTGACTACGGTGGAAGAATATGTACGATGGTAAATCAGTATGCATTCAAGGAGTGACTATAGTTGGAGAATGTGTAGCGGTAATGCGGCATCAGATACCTAGAACAGCTTGTGCTCCAAAGTCATATCCGATTCGGGCTGCAGGCCAACGCAGGCACGGAAGATGTTGGTCAAGGCGTTGCGCTGCTTGTTCAGAGCGTTGACGACCGGGGTGCCCGGGGGAGTCAGAGGAGCCTTAAGCATGTAGCTCAGGACGCTGAGCACACTGTGGAAGCCCTTGTAGTCGGCAGCCTCATCCGCCTTCCAGCTGACACGGGTCATCATCTCGGCAAGCACAACCAAGTCGATGATCAGAGGGGAAGCCAGCAAGGAGTCCTCACAGATGTTGAACAAGCTGATGGTCTGGTGACCGCCCATGAAGATCTCAGCGTAGTACTCATCCAGAGCACGCTTGTTGTCACCCACGGCTGGCATGTACTTGATCACCACGGTGTGGTCCGGGTGCTCATCCTTCTCGTACAGGATGTGGTTGGCGGCAACCATGTCATCGACCACGTTGGACTTGGAGATCTCCTTGGAGCGGAACTGCTTCTGAGAGCTCAGGTTCTTGCCGTCGTTGTTACCCAGGTGGTTGTAGCTGGCAATGGAAGTAAGCTTGATACCGGCATTGATGAGGAAGTCCACGAGAGCCGACTTCATCTTGGTCTGGCCCGACTTGAAGTCATCGCCGCCAATGAAGGCCTTGTGCTTCTCGGCCAGCTCAAGAGCTCCCGGGACGAAGGTGTTCTGGGGAGAACCGTTGATGAAAGGAGTGTTCTCCAAGATACAGGCGACGGCAAAGACAGTGGACGGGGCAACTTCCTCGTGGCCAGTCTTGATCGAGTTGAGGAGGTTGTCGGCGGTATCATTGACACCGGGCACGATGTCGGCGTACCGCTCGGTGTTGGCAGTCCACATGACAATCACCTTGTCCAGACCATGCTCAGCCTTGAAGTCCCTGTTGCTGTTAGCACGGGTCAAAGTTCGGCACAAGTTATTGTGTACTCACCGAATGTCCTGCTGAATCTTCTCCACGTGAGCCCAGCAAGCCTTGGAGCCCTCGAGGATGTTGTCGGCACGGTCCTCCTGGTTGGAAGCAATGAAGTCCGGGTAGTAGATGCTAGGCAACGGCTTCATCTCGGCCATTTCCTTGCGGACCAACTGCTTGAGAGAGGGCTCGAGGACCTGGGCCCGGTCCATGGCATCGGCGATGTTCATGCTGCTGATGTCCCATCCACCAATGGCGAGATCATTGGGGTGGACCATTGGCAGCATGTCATGGAAGGGAATGTTAATTTCCTCACCGGTCTTGGGGTCCGTTCCCAGCTTGACGGTCGAGCTCATGACAACAGAGCCGTAGTAGTTGGAAGCACGCATGCCCTCACGGGTCTCCCACTGGAGGCCACGGCGGTTGGCAATCATACCGGCCGTCACAGTGGAACCGTTGTTACCACCCCAACCGACCATCATCATACCAACCTTGCCCACTTTGCGGTCGACCTTAAAGTGGTAGGTGGTTGCCTTGGGAGTGGCAACCAGCTTGTTGTCGGCGGTGCGAGTGATATCGGTAGTGTGGTAGGCATACTTGCTCTTGATCTCATTGTCGGTGTACTCGACGTTGGGGGAATTGACAGTAAACAAAGGGGAGGATTGAGCCGACCCGTTCACGGCGCCATTGGCAGCAACATCCGAATTAGCGTGGGGAGCCATTGCGTTCACAGAGCAGACAATTGACTAGGATGGCGAAAGTGGGATGTTTGGTGAATTATTTAATGGGTGTGTAATTCGTAGGCCGATGTCCCTCCACGAGAGGATGAGCGCCGGCCGTTGAACGGGTGGTGACGCCTGCCATAATCGTTAGCTCGAGCACACATCAAATGCGAGGAGAATGTCTCATTGTTGTTCTCTACCACGAGGGGGCCTCGAGGAGGGAAAGCATGATTGCGGAGGGGGAGACTCACGAGTTAAGAAGTGTGCCGAAAATTTTGGCGGTTTTTGGCGAGCACGCCTTGAAGACAGTGATCTCAAAGAATTGAGAAAGTGAGCTTGAAATGGAACGAAGAGAGTTACGAAGGTAAACGGAGAGAAAGAAAAGTCTGGGAAACGTGAGCGGGAGAGTATTTAAGGGAGAGTGGGAGAGGTTGAGTCCGGAGTCCGGAGTCACGGGCGTCCCTCCTCCGCACCCGGCATTTTCCCTCCCCAACGTCCAAGAAGGATTAGCTCTACGTCCTTAGCCCAGTCTTCTTTGCCGATTTAACTTTCTAAGCGACCAAAAAGAACCAGCGGTCAAGAGACGAACAAGTGGACGAGTTGAATGAATTGTCTACCCCTCCATGACCCCTCTAGGCCATTGATCCCAGCCGTTGATTTGTCTCTACCCTTACGGACTCGATCAAAAGTCCATGTTGTTGCGGAGCATACGGGGTTTGACATGTTATGCACAACATTGGATAGTTCTAGTGTAAGTGCATCGAGACCTCACGTTGTGGTGCTGTCGTCCGCAATTCGGTGTCCACATTTCATGATGTCCTCTCCACTCGGAATGGTTGCCTACCGTTCTTTTCTCTCGGCTAATCGCTCGATGATGCAGGTCCGTCGTGTTTACTCCACAGCTACCTGTCAAAGCTAAGGCTAGAATATTGGCAACACGCACCATTGGAAAGAAAGGTCAGTCTCAATGGGTTGGTTTCTAGGGTACATCGGTGAAAGAGACAACGCTCTTTTCCTTTGATGCTCCTGCCACTCTGTAACATGTGATTTTCCTCCGGCGGAGAGACTCAGGGCACTGAATGGTCTGCGCGTTTTCTGTTGTGGGTCGGGGCATTCCACAGGGACCGCTACGGGCGGCCTCGCCAAAAAAAAAAAGTGGCCGGCAAGTCACTTCGTTCAGAACAATTCATCACCAAGAAAATGGGGAGAATATGTTATTTACCCGACATCACGAAGAACTCGACTTCTGGGATCCATGGAGTGCGCCCATCGCTGCATTTTAGGACAACTCATGCCCCTGACGTTGCGGTGAGCGGCGGAAAGCTCGGCACAGCGTCCCATGGTTGCAATATTACCCCTGATTCAGCGACCGCACATTTGCTGTTTGCGGAGTTGGTCTGCGAAGTGGGTAAAGGTATAACCTGATCCTTCCCCAGCGACATTCTCTGGGCTTCTCAGACTTGAGAGAGATTGGCTGCCATTTCGCGCACCTTCTTTTCGGGCACAGTGCTCGGTACCAGATTCTTTCTCATTGACGATGCTTTGTTCCCATAAATTAGAGTATACAATGACGCAAGGGACTACGTTGAAGACTGTGACGGTAGTGCTTAGTCAATCTAGCTGAACTTTCTCCCAGTGGCCACCGAATCCAAACATCTCGGATGACATGTCCAAGTTTGTCGACGTTTGCTCTTTGAGGAATTGTTTTTTGAAGACTGACGGGCACGCCACTGCATGGTTCTTTGACTAGCGTTGCGACTATTGTTCGAATACTAATTCTAGAAAACACGATGCTATTTCGGGCCTGACCCCCGTTTCAAGCCAACGTTCCGCACCATTGCCTGGAACGAAGACTAAATATTGGGGGTCTGAACCGGGGCGTAAATCATCGAAGTTTGAGAGTGAGACCGCTGGCTGCAACCATTAGATAAGAGTTTCCCACAGCTAGAGCCCACTCCACGATCCATGGTACAGGTGGACTGATCTCAGGGTAACTGTTTCGATGATGTCGTCGCGTGGCTTGGTCTACCTCAAAAAAATGGGCAACGACTATCGAAGTTTGACTGGTCTATCATTGCACTATGGGCGAGTGAGCCATGGTGCAGGGATCGTTGATCTACACAGACGAGAATGAAGAGATCCTGGGGGACCAACCGGGAGGTGTTTGTCTCGCCCAAGATAGAAGCGACTATCTCGCCTGAGTTCGAATTGACAAGCCATAGTCCGTTCGCCGGAGAATTTCCATCGACTCAGAAGAGGAATTGTGTCTTATGACAGGTCCAGATGGGGTTTTGTGCACCATGGGGAGTACCTCGAGAGTCGACACACTCTGGCCCCTTACAGGGAAAACCTCCGGACTTTCACACCGCCAATGGGGTCCGTGTAAGCTTATCTTTTACGCTGGATTCCTACGAGTTGGATTCTGGAATCGCCAACATGTAATTGGACACCATTAATAGTCGTCGAGCAAGGGGGATGGGATCAATGATGACATCGGGGAAGGGTATAAAAAGAAAAAGGTAACAAAAAAAATGGTAATCGAAAAAGTAATAATAATAAGAAAAATAAAAATAATACTCCGTAACACCAACAACAACAACAATAACAATAACAATGATTAGGACGGGCGCGTGCACTTCCCATGGGGGCCAAGATCAGGAAGGAAACGGGGCGATCAAATGACAAGAGGGTGTGGTAGTAGTGTTATGGAGTCCTGGCCGTTGCCCCTGAGGAAGATCTGCGCTGGTTCAGGGGTTTCAAACTTTCAAAAGTATATGTTCGTATGGTCAGCGTGTTGACATGCAGCATCACGTCAGACTGGCCATGGTCAAAACTCCGCTCGGAAAAGGGGGCGAAAAGGAAGACAACGACATAGAGGATGTAACGTTATATTAAATTTCATTTTCAGTCAAGATTTATATTGGGTTAAGTCGGAGTTGACGGTCAGCAACAGATAGAATTTAAATATATTAAGTCGAAGTGATATCGTACTGATACTCCGTCACAAAGAACGCGTGTTGCCCTGGGCTGGTTGTCATTGACCAATCCCGTGACTCGTGGTGGCCCCCAGCCCACCTCCTAAAGTGGAAACGCGACTAAACCGTCTTGGATCGTTAGATACACGAGGAGTTTCTGCCGCCGAAAAAGAACGAAAAAAAAGAAAGTAGCGTCTCCACTCACGGGGACTACTATTCTTGTCTGAGTTTGGTTTATTTGTTAGTTCGCTCATTATCCTCTCACTCTTATTCATAAAATCAATCACCCTCCGCCAGCACGAACGAACTTCCTATGATTTTCTAACCGAGTTTAGTCCCTGTCCTGCAGTTGGTGTGTTGTGTGTGATGTTGATTCCTGGGGTTCAATAGCATCGACGACTCGTTATGAGAAGGATAGACGCACGATCCATACATACTCCACACATACAACGGTTCCTTGGACACTTTTGTATGATTTAATCCTCGCGTAACGGTTCTCGGGAGACCATCGCAGCGGTTGACATGGCTGCCACCATGAATATGGGCCTATTGCCCACCATCAAATGCTCCAATTGTGGAATGAATGTCGAGATCTCCGTAATGGGGGACCATGTCTGCGCACCCGTGTCTGGTATGATTTTCTCTCCAGAATCCAGCAGTTCATGTCATTGACCGTTTCAATAGTATCTTCAACACCACCTCCGCCACCACCTAAACATCACAGTCCATCAAAAAGTATAGGGAGATCAGGCGTCCCCCCACCGATTGATCCTTTAAAAGCCAGTATGTTCATCAGTGGCACAAAGTATATCCCTCAGAACTATCGGTAACCCCCCAAATAGATCGACCATTTATGCGCCTGGAAGCTGTGATCAGCAGCAAGGGCGATATTACCCCGTTTCCAGATGGACGGCAATCCCCGCCTCGCCAGTTACTACGGAGCCAAACATCTCCCCTCCCCTCTCAGCCACGATCTCCAGATCAGGATGAGATTCCGACATTTCCCCTTCCCCGGTCCATGTCGCAAAAGACATCGAAGCACATGGTCCCTCTGGACAACCCATACAAGGCCCTACCGATTCCAGCCGGCGCTACGGGTACGACAGGCCAGAGCATTCGGTTACCTTTAGGCGAGCAAGCAGTAGCACCGCCGCCACCGTTGCCCAAGGACGACGTTCCAGGGCCCCTACCAACCTTCCACAAATATAGCTACTCCACTGAAAGTAAAAGCAGTTACCGAACTTCTGTCGCAAGCTCCCGCTATGATTCCAGACGATCGACATCAGTATCGATGGGGCGGCCATCAAACGGTAGCTTGGCCCATCAGTATAAATTTCTGGACGATGCTCCCCCAGTACCGTCCACGTTCCCCGGCAAGCTGCTACGGGATTCAACTGCAACCACGTTTTCGGACGCAAGTATACCCCACGGCGAAATCAAACACGACCAGGATCAGCATAAGCGCCATGGCAGTGGTAATCTCAATCCGTCTACCGAGCGCACTAGCGACAAGGCAGCTTGCCAGGAAGATAGGCCAGGTGCTCTCCGTGCTTCATCTCAAACCAGCTCGGACCGTCTGAGCAGTAACCGCGGGTCCGCTGAGTTGTTCTTTAGAAGTCCTACCCCAAGTTCCAATGGTACGCCGTCGGAACTTCTCGACCTCTCGCAGGAGCGGTCAGCCTCCCCTGCAGACATGCGGGGCTTTGAATACAAAGCTTACAAGAGTCCGGGCCTCCCTCATATCCAGACCCCCAGCCAGGAACTTGGTGACGGCGAGGGACACGCTGGAGCGCAGAAGAGGAATTCGGATGCCATCAGCGAAGCCGGTATCTCAATCACTAACTTTGCCCGCGAGTTGGGCTTAGACACTACGGACAGCGTGGTGGAGAGCCCGACAGCTTCCTCGGTTTCATCACCGAGTGATACACGAAGCGGCACGTCTTTCTCTAGCATCGGATCAGATATCAGCATGTCAAAGCGCCACCCGTCCGATGAAGGCCAACTAGGCACCTTAGTAGAGGACCTACAAAAAGAGAATGGCGAGAGTACGACGATGTCAATGACAGGCTCGGACATTCTCGAGCCGCCGCGGATGCCGCAACATCTTTTCAGTCCAGACTCCCCGACCGATCCTGCCATCAGTACAGGAAGTGTGTCCCTTCTTCGTGATAGGCCCATGCAGAAACCGGCAAAGGACGACCAGCCGGAGTGCCCTGCCACAACTAGTCCTACTACTGAACGGCCTGCCCGTGCAGCCCCCCGCCCAAAGGGCCCTTGCCGCGGCTGTGGCGAGATGATCATCGGGAAATCCGTCTCGTCCGCGGATGGCCGTCTGACGGGCCGGTATCACCGGGCATGCTTTGTATGCTATGATTGCAAAACTCCCTTCCAAACCGCCGACTTTTATGTTATGGATGACCTTCCATATTGCGCGCAGCACTACCACCAGCGCAATAATTCGGTATGCCATACATGCCACACCGGGATCGAGGGACAGTATCTGGAGACAATCGAACGACGGGGCCACGGCCCGGCCGATCGCTTCAAGTTCCATCCAGATTGTCTCACATGCCGCACCTGCCAAGTTGCGCTGAAAGGAGACTACTTTGAATGGAATGGTCAAGTCTACTGTGAGCGTGATGCCCGCAGAGCCGCGGCTTTACCACCACCCCCTCGCTTCCAGCGCCCAGGCCCGGGATTATATCCGCCCGGACCGCTACCCCCCCATGCGCGTCAGCCCTCGCGCGGCTATCCCCGTCCCCCACCTCCCGGATATGCAGGGCGCCCGAGGTCACCACGTCCTGGCCCACCTGGCCCACCTGGACCCCCAACCGCCCGTCTCCCACCACCAAGCGCACTCGACGGACCGTATGGAATGGCCCCAGAAGGCGGCCGGCGATTCCCAGAGCGGAGAACCACCAGATTAATGATGATATGATATTAAAATTCCACTCCAATGAGGCGTGTCACTTAGATATTACTTCCATATTCGGCTCGCTGGGTGGCAGAGTTACTTTCCCCCCCCCCCCTCATTTGCTTTCTATGTGTGCCGGAGTAACGTGTTTTTCTGTTCTGTCCATATTAAGGCTGCTTTATACCCTTCGTTTCTTGTTGATATAGTGTTTTATGGTGTTTGTTTCTCTGTTTTTGCACCTTCTGGGTCGGGTATCTGATGTTCATGGATGTCTTCCTAAATAATGTTTGATATAATGCTGGCCATATACAAGACACTGGCTGGCGAAGTGATGTGACTAGAACCGTTGATGAGATCAATATATTGGCTCTAGCCTATCGAGATACAGATACACATGTAATTTGTAACCGGGTGAATAGCTTCCGAACGCCGTAATTGCTTTGGAAAAGTACGTTTATTATTATGAATGTAGATATAACCGTCAGCGTTAGCATCGTTCATAGTTGCGTTTATGTAAGAGGAAGGGGACCATCCACAACTAACAGGATACTAGCCACCGAGCCTCTTCGTGGGCGAAAAGTCCCGGATTGCATCTACTTATTTCATAGTGTAGTCTGACTGATCTTAGGGAGATCAAAATATCATGGTGTAGGCTAGCACATATTTAGCAACAGAAAGCGCACCGTCAACAATGACTGCAACCCAAACAATACAGCAAACAGGCAATGCGATCCAGGATTTTCCCCAAACTTTAGCTGTCTTAATCTAGTATCTTTCCGGAGTCTACTACGTATGTTTGGCTGCTCTTCCACAACCAGCATAGCTTGCATCAAGTGAACTTCGAGTGCTCATTTCGGTAGAATCTACGTGAACTAGATAGTGCCCAGACCTTAGTCATGGGGGATGAGATGGTGTTGGCTAAATAGTCACTGGACATGTTACCATTTTTGTCAACCACTAGTAACATTCCTTGATAGATATGATGAGGATGATGTATTCTCTTGTCCTTCTCTTGCGATAGTGGAACACAAAAAACCCCAAATTCTAAAGATGCGATGTCCTGTTGAAGTCCTCAATACTCTTCGAATACTTCACAACCGGTAACTAGAAAAACCTCGCCTTCAAGAGTTTCCTGTCTTTTGACAGCTCAACAGGCTGTAGAGCAAAGCGGGCCTTGCGCCAGAGGCCGTGACAGTCACAGGAAAGGCATAACACATTTTGTAGGACTTCAGTCCCTTCGAGACCTGAAACAACTTGCTTCCATCTCTCTACTTTTCCTGGGGCCCAAAAGCAACTCAGGTTAAGCCAAAACTGATGTTGCTCATACCAGTGTCTACCCATCATGGTGTACGGGTATATATGGGCCACGTTGACTGGCCCATCCCTCTTCGTGATGCAGCAATATCGTTCCCGTTCAAGACACTAACTGTTGTTAACTAGCTACTTCTAAATTCACCTTAATCGTCAGCAGATACATACTGAAGTTACCATATCCTTGATTGTCTCAGAATGCTTTCTCCTTTGTGGAACTGTAGTAGGCGGAACATTACTCTCTGTATCCTCCATGGCTGAAGCACGGCTTGCCCCTTAGCATAGATCAGTATATCTGTATTCAAAGGACAGAGCCACACAATATGATACATACAGAATAGTAAAGGCCGATAGCTAGGGCACGCTAGTACGCCCGAAATGGGGTCTTCATCGAGGCTGCATAAGTATCGGATTTGGTCCAAATCTGCCAACCACAGCATGGCTCATGTGGCAGTTTCGACATACGGCACAACTGAACTGAGTCTTTCGATTAGTTCATATCGGCCGATTTCTGTCAGTTCGGGTGCAGCGACAGGACTGGGATTCTCAGTAGCAATATGAATAGAACTCGTTTCAGGAGCCATCTCAACGCCAAGTCTTGTGCTCTGGATGTTCAGAAAGGAAGGAAAGCCTTGATATTCAGAATTCTGGGAAAGGCAGCAGGTGGAATGGTAAATTGTGACCAGTGCATGACCAGACTTCGGAACGGAAGATGACGACAAGTTGATGAAGAAGGATATTGAAGGAATGAACCAGGGCTAGCTGGGTCAGGTGGTAGAAACTTCATATCGATGTAATATTTTTAGCGGACAGTATGCGGGTTTCCCAATTTCGGTTTCTTCCGGTCCTGCTTTTGGATTAAAGAGATGGCAGAGAATCGTTTATTTCTTGCTTGATTGCTGTAAGCTCCCATGTTTTATATTAATATGATTAACATATACTTTAAGAAGCGCTCATAAGTTTAACCAACCGTGGCATATCAAGACTGCAATAGCTGTAGAACTTTTGAGATATCTAGTTATCATCCAAACAGTTGGTTCAGGCAGTCTCTTCATAGCCACCCATCAAAGAACCCCCAGCGCTTCACCGAAGCAGACTCTCCTTCACTCCTCTTCCCAGTTGATCCACTTCCATAGATATTGAATTCCTGTGGTCCCTCTGCATGAATATGATAACCAAGGCTGCATTCCGAGAATGACACTTTCGGCTGATTAGCGTAGAATTCATCAAACCCCGAATCCAGTGCATCGGCTAAGTTATTCACGTAGCCCTTGGGGTGCAGCTGACGCCATGGCTCACGGCAGGAATCTCCATTGCACGATTTCAGAACCATCATTAGTGCATCAAGACGGGGAATGATCTGGCCCAGGCGGCGGTTGGCAATTGTGTAGGATTGGTGAGCGCTAATGTTGGAAGCCAAGTTGGTCGTTTGGAGGGGATCATCCTATTGCCTTAGGGTAAGTATATGTTGGACGACGATGGCTTGACTTAGGGCAAATACCTTTAGATTGTAGAATTCTTTGTCGTTGGTACACCAGACAGAGTAGTAAACACTATAATCGTCCGAGACAAGTCGAAGTCCCTTATACGTATTGTTTCTATAGCTATTACCCGGCTGGCTGTTGTTATCGCTTTTGTAGCCGTAGATGCCTTCGGGAACAGCCTGTTGAGGTAGTTGTTAGCATATTGGTCTTTGTAGAGCGACAATGATTGTTGGAGTAGCTCACAATTCCCCAGTACTCGATTGCTACATGCTCCGACTTATTAGCTGCGTTGCCGGCATCGATGGTAATCGGGATCTTTTTTCCATCCAGACCATCCCTCGTTGTTCCCGCGATGGACAAGAAAGTAGGCGCAAGATCAGTGTGGCTAGTGACGACTTCGATTGTTTGGTTCTGGGGGATACCAGGGCCGCGAACGATTAAAGGAATGTTGATATCCGTTTCTGTGCTTTGTTAACATTCCCCAATCTCAAGGTCAGGGACCATCATAACCATGCAAACTCACCATATCCACAGTTCTTGCCTGGTTGCATTGCATGCTGACCGATATGGTACCCATTATCCGTGGAAAAGAAGATATAGGTATTATCCAGCACACCAGCCTTATCAAGCTTCTCAAAAAGCTCACCAATCATTTCATCAACAGCCTGAAGCGCCCGCAGCCGACACCGCTGGAACTCATCTATATAGTTAATTTCCTCCTGGGTGAGCGTCGGCAAGTCAGCAACCCACCCGACAGCCCCATCAATGATCTTATTGAAACTCTCATCTCGGGGAATCTTATAATCCTTGAAGAGGTGTGCATGGCGCGGCGCATACTCCGGCTCACCAAACCAAGTCGCACCCGTCACTGCATCCTGGGATCCGTTCGAATGCGGTGCGTTTGGCGCAATGGTAAGCATCCAGGGCCGATCCGGGTTCGCGAGCGCTTCGTCCAGGAATCCAAGTGACTTGTTCTTAATGACATCAGTCGAATATTGACCGGCGTAGCTGACAGGTGCCTGCCCGTTACGTGTCATTTTGGCGTTGTAGTACCGATAGGTCCATGGATCGAGGAGGAAGTCGGAGCCATTGAACCCCTTTGCGTAGGGCTTGTTGTAGTTGTCTTCTGTATGTGAATTCCAGAGCTTGCCGACGTAGTATGTATCGTAGCCGGCTTCTTGCATCCAGATCGGTAGGTAGTTGTCGTTCCAGCCTGCGCTGACTACCTTGGGATATCCACCGTATGGTAAGCCAACGTCAGTAATGTTGGTATTATGTGGCATGCGACCGGTCCAGAGGTTGGCTCTGGATGGGCAACATAGGGCTACGGAACAATAGTGCTTTGGATATGTTGCTCCTTTTTGGATTAGGTTTTCCTGTGGTTTTGGGTTAGTTGCGATTGCTTGCTAATATTTATATAGTTCGGAATAGAAAGCAGGGGGAAATGAAGGATTAAAGTGCAGACAAACCTGTAGCTTAGGCATATGGTCCAGCCCACCGATGAGTTTGCCCTGGTCATCCGTAAGAATAAACAGAATATTAGGCTGTTTGGCGGCCGTGGCAAGGCCCCAAAGCAGCCATGTTCCCAACATGACCTTCATCGTGACTAATAGACAGTCTGATTCTCTTTCTCCGCTTAGAAAGGCCACACAGGGCTCAGATACTGATCTAAATGCAAGAGGTGGGCGCCCTGTAAGGTATGAAAGCTCCGAGAAGTTAGGATTATTTATGTCTCCTTCTCTCCATCATGCAATCCCCACCACTCCCTCGCGCACCACTTCCGTAAAGCATACTCCGTGGAGTAGCGCATCTTGTGCAATCACCCCACAGAATTACATCGTAAGAATTAAGACTGAGTTATTGCCAAATGATCCGTTAAAATATCGCGTAGCGGGGGGATCGTCGAGCAGCGCAGAGGTAAAGACGGAAAGCGGACAGCGTTTCGAGGAGAAAATCTTGACTGACAGGGGACGATCAATGCGGAAGGATAGAAAAGATCTACGTTTTGCCGAGAAAAGTACGGGGTGTAGTTGATGGTTATGGAGGTTGTGGTGAATTGCGAAATTTTGAGGCCGATGATGCTAGAGGACAAGCAATGGTATAATGGTGGGTCCGCATCACGTCTTCGATATGCCAGATTTAGCCGTTTTTTTTTTCGGTAGATGAAGAACTCATACTGCAAGTGTGGTGAGGGCGATTAGGGTTGTTGATCTATCTTGATAGAGTAGGGCGGGAGTCGATCATGGAGCCATTCAGGGCTACATCTCTCTGGAAGCCATTTCTCTGCTCGTGCCGCAACTATGTCGGTAAGCTGTGATAGCCTTCATCACCTTTGCTCAGTGCGGCAATTAAGCGGTAATCACAAAACAGACAAGAATTATTAGAAAGGAAATTTTGCCGTAGGTGTTATAACGTGTAGTACGGAGTGGATAGGCTTCGCGCAAGTCTTTGCCAAGCTAGCCCCACAACTCCCTCTTAGCTATATAGGCTATAGGCTTGGTGCTTGGCATATGTATTCACCGACTTGTTCAATTTACAATGTAAGGATAAGGTGGATATACCTCGTGCGATATAGTCCCATCCATACCATAATAAAAGCTTCATAAGAAATGGTCAAACCATAAGAAAAGTCGGATAGAAGACAAACGTATCTAGACTCTGGCCTAGCTAGGTGTTTTTGCTTATGTGGCTTGCATTAAAGAGGGGCTTTTTGTGGAACAAAACAGGTTGGTGAAGGAGAATTAAGAGCGTTTCATCTACAGACGAGAAAGTCGTATCATATCATTGCGGTACATCTCCTATTGAATATATTGCTTAGTCGGAGCTACAAACCCTCTACCCACGTCTGTCTCATTCTACTATAACTGGTTTTCCCAAAATAAAAACCAATTACCATATGCGCAAATAATCGTCCGTCGCATATCTACAACGGGCCTAGGTGAGTCAGTGTGCTCTCGCGAAGACGTAACACGGGGTCGCTCCATACAAACCCCGTAGAGCAGAGAGACTTGCATATCAAGCTAAGTGACAGAGAGACACACTGTCCGTCAGTGGCTTGAGAACGGACGCGTAAGCAGTTGTAAAAGAAATCTGTGCAAGACAGGTTTGACTTCAGAAACCGTCCGAGGATTACTCATTATTATCAGTAAACCCTATATATACATCGCGGAGAAAGGAACGACGTAGCTTGGTCCAGTCACGCTCCAAGAATAATTCCCGACATGTTGATGGATGCCTTGGCGCATTAATCGCATTCATAAACTCTAGAACACTCTTTGCTCATATTCCCCTTCTAACAGGCCCGGCGCCGGAAGCCAGCGGATCATCGCCCACAACGAGTCTTTAAACTGACCAACCTTATGTGGGTCTTGAAAAACGCCGAACAAGGATAGCTTATGCAAGGGCAGTCGTGCTGGTCATTGGTGAATCGCGAGTCTATAACCACTCGGGGACCTTCAAGCATCGGGTTTTGCTGGCATACCATAAATGAAGCAATCAATGGCATCGTCTCTGACAAGTAAATATTAGACAGTATCTTGGCTCACTCACCTGATAGCAGCCAATATTCCCTCATCGAGATGGTCTACACACCGTCTGATGCCCTGGTCATGCTGGATAACGTGCTCTAGATCGATCGTGGAAAGTTCGTGGTGGAACATATGGCTTTCATCCTCTAGGATCTCGGTATACCTGGGTTATAACGTAACTATTTCATAAGGCGTGTATTTCCAAGATGAGTTCGACGGAGTTGAGAGTTTTGCGGTGTCGGGCAACTGGGCGGGTTCTGCCGAGAGCCTTTACAAGGGCTATCTTTGTTGAATCAAGACCTGAACAAAGGAGCACCAGATCCAGCCTATTAGAGATTCTTACACATCTGAGCAGGGCAATTCGGGCACGGTAAGCTAGGTATTACCAACATCAGCAGTTGGCTTCTATCCGTGAGCCTTCCCAAGATGCACAGTCAAGTATCGCAAGTTAAACAGAAAGAAACAACATCCCGAAGTTGCTCAAAGATGCCAGAAAGACTCCTTTGTCATCGTAGGACCAGGTACCCTTGAAACGAAGTTGATTTCAGATGCATATGCAAAACTCAAACCTTGATGCTGTGTCTAGGATGTTAGAAGAGATATAAGGGTCTTTAGATTATTGTCGTGCTGATTGAGATGATCTTTAAGCGGAGGTCCTTGAAACTTATCAATGTGAAGCGATATACGGTGCACTTATCGTTTCCATTCTATTCATTCCCCCCCCCCCCCCCCCCTCTCTTTCTGTTCTTCTGTAACTTACAATGCTCCCTTCGTCTGGGTCATTTCGCGCCATACTAGTCGCTCTATGGCTTATTTTTGCACTAATTGGCTTTTCTGACGGCCATGAGAGGTCCACCCGGCATCATGGACGATTAAAAAACCCATCTCGTCCCATTGAAGCAGTATCGCTCTGTGGGCTAGATTGTCCCTCGTGCGCTGCCGGATTAAACGCCGCACCAAAAGTTTCAGCACCTAAAAATCGGGTAAAAAGTGGATCGTTACATAAACGGGTGCTAGCCAAACCAGAGGACGAGGATTTTGATGGGGATGTCGATTCGTTCTTGGTGAGCCAATATATGAGAGCAGATTAGGTGCATTTGTCTCAACAGAGCCTGTCGTCAGCTCTGTTCAGGGAGCTGGGAAATGTGAAGTTCAACCTGGCAGTGCAGGATCTATATGGGTGTACCTCAGTGGTAGTAGTCTCCGAGAAGGGCGTATGGATGTCGCATCTTTGGGAGAACCCCGCATTTGCTACAAAAGGCCCGTCTGGTGAATGGCTGCCCAGTGCTGACAACAAGTTCGAAGCCGATGTCCTCAATGCACTGGAAGATGGTAATCAAGAGATGCCAGGCCTAGCACAATTTACCAAAAATGGCGGTGCATTCATCGCCGCCTACAGGCCATTTGCCTATATCTTTTATCAGACAGGGTCCCATTACCCTAACTATGACCGTACATATAAGGCTAGGATCAACCAGATCAGCCAAAAACTACAACGCCTCCTTCCACTGAACACACCGCCCCTCATATATCAATATGATCGCGCTGGAGGACATATGATGAGAGCAAAGGGAAAGGTTCTTTTTCAGTACGAGCCTAATGAAAGAATTATGCAGACTAAAGATGGTCCACTGCAACAGGCACTGAATCGCATCTGGTTAGAAGATCGACCTACGTTTGTTCATCAGAGATACTGGCCTGCCTGGCCCCGGCAGATGGCCGCTGGAAATTCCAACCAAAAACGGGATACCTGGCGTATTCCGACGCCAGGTACACCGGGTTCAATATCAGACTCGACGCTTAGTGGCTCAGAGACTACAGTTTCCCGCCAGATCATCCCAACTCTGGATATATTGTCCATTATAAGCCACGATTACAGTAATGGAAATTCTACTGCAACCAGGAGCGAGACACCGACCGCGTCACCTACGTCTGAGGCCCGGTTAGACAGTCACATCAACATCTAGTCCATTGCTGAGCACAATGCCTGAGTCGGCAATGGATTCGGCATACAGCCCAAAAACCGGCTAGACACATACCTCAGCATCGAGACATTGTCTCGCTAAAGAACGACTCACATTATAGATACAGCGGTAAGCGAGAAGGTGGCGAGACCGTTAGTACAGCAGAAAGCCTCGAAAACTAGCCTTTGCCCTACTACAACGAGAACTGTATAATCGCCACCCACATCCAAAGCGACAGTCGTCGTAGGCATGAAAAACATCCAACGCACACGGAATTATTCCATTGTAAATATCTCTAATAAATCTGTGATTTCTATTATGAATCATGCAACAATATAATTGGTTATCAGAGCTGGACATCAAGTCAGAAAGGTTAGAAATGAACTGTGATGATCTACCGACTGACGTCTTGAGATTGGAATCAAATGTAGATTCCAACGACAAGGTCCCGTAAATAAACGCTGGCACTAAAGGTCTAGGGCTCATTATTATATTATAATATGAATGAAATTAGTCAAGGGTGACCATTTTGGGGCTCATGTACACGTCTCTCGTCAATATACGACCTACACCCTTGTTGGACATATACAGTCCACCATGCACTGCTCGGCAGGTACCCGATAATCAGAATACCGGATAACTCAGGACAACTATTTGCCTTAACTATTGCATGGCTCAAAACTACTAAAATTTATTGTCATAAAGTCCTGGAGACACCTCAATAGCTTCTCGAGCAAACTTTGCGAGTAGAGGTCTCCATTATAACTTGTGACCAACAGGATTAACTCATGGGTTTTGTTACTAGTCAGGTATCTAGCAGACCTTCACACATAGCCCTTGTACGAACTTCCAGAGAGTAGTCTACCAGGCCGTGATAAGACGCACAGCCCTCACAGACTACTTGCACTCACACTGGGCTTAATCTCCGTCTGAGTCCCCAACTCCTCCTTCAGCACTTTATCCCCAACCACTAAAGGCTTGCTACCCTGCAGCACAAACACCATCCTAGTCCACTCCGTTTCACTTGGATTCCTCCACTCATGCATTGTTCCCCTCTGCACAGCGATATCACCCTTCTTCAACAGTTTCATTTCCCCGGAGTCCAACCACATCTCAATAGATCCCTCCAAGACAATCCCATAATCCAAGCTTTGTGTCCGATGCATCAATCCCTTGGTTCCCGATTTCAGAGGCGCAAAGTCTACAACCCGGCAGACGGTCCCACTGGGGCTAACCAGACCCAGGTTGCCAGACGCTAGCAGCGACTCATGGGCGGATATATCGGCGTCACCGCTTAGTTCGGCGGGGAACTGGGAGGTGGTGAAGGGAACATTGAAGCGCAGGCTACCGCTGTCATATTCTCTGAAGGTGCTTTCGGTTGCACTGTGGATTATGGCGGTACCGTTGGCGTCGTGGGTTGTGATGTAGCGGGTGAAGTTTGGGAGGGTCGGGGTGTTGTGGGGGTTATGAGATGATAGGGAAGACATTGTGCCAGTACGTCTTTGGTTCTCTGAGACGTTTTTTTTTTTTTTTGTTATTCTGATAGCTTTCGGTGTACTTTTCGCGTTTTTTCTATAGTGAATTGTTGTTAAGTGGTAGTTGTAGGAGATGAGGTGTAGCAACATCTGAGCTACAGTTGGGTTTTGAACGCCGAGGGGTTCGGGAGTCAGTGAATTTTGCGAGCTATCAAACTAATCAAGATTCGGGTACCGATCTTTTACTCTTTCGTGTAGCCTTTCTTCCAAATCGGCCAATCAATGTTGTGGAGCTGCAAGGTGAAGTGGCTTGCAGGATGTGACGTGGTGAGGGGTTGAGATCCCGTGGAACGTTTGAATATAAGGGTTACCTCATTTTCTTGATCGTACATCTCCTGGATTGGAAAGAGCCGACAATTTTAATTATATCTGTGAAACGATTTGTATTGTCTCATTTGTGTGTAAGTGATAGTACAAAGTTTGGTGTGCAGTGGGTGGCTAATACTGCTTGGTGGTCGAGTATAAGAGCTTCCTTCGCAGATGTCGTACTGTCATTCATTCCAAGTGTACAGTATTGGTCGGTCTATATACAAGACTGTTAAGGCGTAATATGTATGTATTTAGCCTCTATTATACTCCCGTCGTCACAGATACGATCGCTGCTTTTTGCAGATTAGGACCATGGGAATATCCCGCGATTGTAACACTACCCAGATATATGGCATTCTCCTGAGGCTGGCTATAGATTCAGTTACTTTTCTTTCAGGAGCACTTAACCACAACTGCAAGACTTCCGGAGACGCCCCTCAGGATTCGTTATAATGGTATTATGTTGAACCTCATGCTAGATCCCGAGCGAGGGCACCTGCGACTGTTTACTTGAGCCTAGGGTTACGAAGGTCTCCTCTCAGCGGAAAGGCTCTATGGGGTGTTCTTTGTTTTCATGCCCATCAGCTCACTTGACTATAAAGTAATTAGCTCCAAACCTCAGAAACAGTATTTGAACCAACGTTGATACTCTCCGTATACCTTTTTACTACATATACTGTTTCAGATCAAGGTTTTCAAGACAACTTTTGTAACCTGTCTGGTCGGGAAACTCCTCTTACTTTGGTTGCTTAGAGAAAGTCTCATATTGTGGTCATGCTGCGACCAAATTATTCACACTGGTGATACAAAGGGGTATTGCCAAGCAAATCTTTGGGTAATCCATGGTTGTGAAACTATTCACTCAAAGATTATACCGTTTCGGATCCGTGCCCAATTTGATGGTTTCTAAGTTTGGTTAGGCAACCCCTTCCCAGAGCAACCAGGAGCTACAAGTACGACATCTTGGTATCAGATTTGCTATTCATTATCATAGCACCCTAGCTGTGCGGCACATCTCTTCTTTGATCTAATCTTTAAACACACTGGTACTATCCCATATGAACCCCTCAGACCCTTGCGCAGCATGTAGCTGAACCCCTGAACGCCAACAGCATTGTAGCTACAACAGCTACGTCAAAATAATCTATGAGGCAGGAGATCGAGGCGTCTGGTTATTAGGCTCAAATTTGATCCTCAGAGACCGAGGTTCTAGCTTTCCGACCGCTGAAGTACCAAACATTTAATTTGTGCAGGAAAACACATCCATTCCTGTTCCCACTGTTCTTGAATCCTGGGAGGAAGATGGGCACACTCTTATCCTAATGAAATGTATTCCTGGCGAACCCCCTTGAGCAAAGCTTGGCCGAGGCTTTCTACACATGAAAAGGAGGGAATAGCAAAACAGACCGCTGAGTATCCGCTACAACTTGGCAAGCTCCAGTCCGACAATATTCAATCCCTGGGTGGAGGTCCAGTTTATTCAAATTTTCTGTTCAAGAATAAAGATTTCGATCTACCACATGGTCCTCTTGCATTGGATGACGAACTCTGGGCACATATGGAGCGTGGGTTGAATGAGGCTATAACTGAGGCTGTGCGCATACGTCTTCGGCATCGTATGCCACCCGCTACACCTTATACCTTTACGCACGGTGACCTCACTAATGTCAACATCATGGTTGAGAATGAATCCCTTATTGGTATTGTTGATTGGGAGACATCTGGATACTTTCCAGTATGGTGGGAGTACGTTTGTACGTCAGTTGCTGACAGTGAGAAGGACGGGGAGTGGAAGACCTTGTTACGAAAACATATGCCCGATTATAATAACGCACGTGAATTTTGGTTGTATTACTATTACTTATGCAGGAGTCTAGAGCACGAAAGAGCGAGGAATTTCAGCGGGGAAACAACAAGCGGCAATCCCTAGAACGGCTTATCTCCACGGTACGATCGCTCGATGATGGGTAATCCACACGACATTCAGCTTTGTGTACCTGTCTATGAATGAGGTCACGGGCTTAATCTTTAACCCAGTCTGGCATATCATGATTGCTTCTTCTGATGACCTGAAGATGGGTTAGATCTGCCCGCTTTGAACCCTCTCATGATACTCGCCTTTTTCTTTTCGGCTGGTTTAAGGATCTGAAATAACACCATTCAGCCAGTGTTAAGAAATATACCAAAAGTAAAGAGGCCATATCACATACCTGGAAAGAGCAAAGCAGGCTCTCATCCACACTCATCATAGCTCCGGCGTTGTCAAATTCGCCACAGTAATTCGGTGCACTGAACAGCGTGACAAGTTTGCGTTTCGCGAAGAACTCATACCCATCTTCCACACACTGATGCGCGCGGCATACCAAATCTATGTCGTGTTTCTGCATAAAACGGTTGACAACGTCAGGGCCAAATGTGAAGGAGACACCACGATCATTCTCTCCCCAGCCGGTTATCTCCTTGTCTGGATCCGCCCAGAGGAGGTCACACAATAGGCCAGAGTCAGGTATCTATTTCAATCAGCCTTGAATTTCCGAAATTTATTTGAGAAAGAACAGACTTACATCCGTGGGACGCATAATGCGACGGATCTGATCCATTGAATTAAGATCTGGGCTGAGCCCCCCATGCATACAAAAAATCTTGTCCTCCACAAGAGCCGCAATTGGCAGACAATTAAAGCAATCAATGAACGTCTTCCAGAGCTTAACATTATATCTTCTCTTGCATTCGTCGTAAAACCCATATATCCGGTTTATCGAAGCACATTCGTGATTCCCCCGCAGGATAAAGAAGTTCTCGGGGTATTTGATCTTATAAGCTAATAGAAGGCAGATGCACTCGATCGACTGCTTTCCGCGATCAACATAGTCACCAAGGAACAGGTAGTTGGCATCAGGTGGATAGCCACCGTATTCAAACAGGCGCAGGAGGTCGTAGTATTGGCCGTGGACATCACCGCAGATCTAGTTTACTACGGGTTAGTGATTGGCTGGTTCGATTTCTTCCTTCCTTAAAGAATGTGAAAGGGGATGGTGATGAAGGCATACCTGAATGGGTGCCTCAAGCTCTAGTAATATAGGTTGAGATATGACAATCTCGCGCGCCTTATGGCAGAGATATTGGATCTCCCAGTCGTGGAGCCGGACTCGTTTACCTGGCCGGCTACCCCTGACCTCGAGCAATCTATTGATGATAGAGTCCAGATCTTCCTCCTTCTTGTCAGACATGTGTAACTGCCTGTGAATTATATATCAATTTCTTATTTGTTCTAGCTACTGAAAACCAGAGCGTACTTATGCTATGATTGTTTGAGTATCGCTTGAATTGACAGGGGAAGATACTTATATAGCCTACTTGGCCGTGAACTGCACTGCGACGATTTCCCAGATGTTCCGATGGCGTACGGAGTTGAGATTTGCCTCCCGAACTAGAGAGTCGGAGTTCCGAGAAGGATATCGGACTTGAAACCTTGTCTCCACAAAGATCCATAGTCATGATTCGCCTAACGCATTACGACAAGAGAGGTACACAGAATTGGCCACTTAGCGTCGGATCCAAGATAGAAAGAACATATTATGGCTAAGGGACTCCGTATGTCGGTCTCATTCCCGAGTCAACCACAGAGCCACGCAAAGTCCGTAGCGTCGTTATATGATGTCACGTCGATTCCTGGTGGTTTATAATGCCAAGGTGGATCCGGCAATATCTGAAGATGCAACCATATATTTTTCTCTGTGCTGTGGATGAGAACATCGGCTGAATGACGCCCGTATTTGTACCACCTTGAATTCATCATCCTAAAACGGCAGACATGCTCCCCAGACAAACAGTCCCTTAGACATATACAAGATCTGTTTTATATAGCTCCCTGCATATCACTGGTAGTGCATTCAAAAAGAGCCTAAGTTTTCTCCCTTCTTGACATATTAACAACCGACCGCATGGAAGTCAACCCTGCGCTGTCACACTCTTCTAATCTCGGTCTCCCGACGGAAGCCTGGCCCTTCCCGGCACTCGATAGATGTATTGAAGACTTGTTAAACTGCAAGCAACTGTCAGAGAGCGACGTGCAGAGTCTGTGCAAGCAGGTAGGTCTCTTGTGCTCCATCCGTCCACCTCTTCATCAATAACCAGCAAAATAGGCCAAGGAGGTAGTACAAGAGGAGTCAAACGTGCAACTAGTTGTATGTGTGTCGACAGGGATATCAATGCGCCACTGAAAGGTTAGGCTAATAAACTCGCAGAAAAGTCCGGTCACAGTCTGCGGCGATATTCATGGCCAATATCACGACTTAATAGAATTGTTCCGTATCAGTGGATCATGTCCAGATACGAATTACCTTTTCATGGGCAAGACACTAGATAAACAGCTGTTATAAGATACGTGAGCACGACACTAATGCAAAAATCTCCGTTCTAGGTGATTACGTCGACCGTGGCTATCATTCCATCGAATCAGTATCTCTCCTGATTGCTCTGAAGATCCGGTACCCGAAACGCATCACAATCCTTCGTGGGAATCACGAATCTCGCCAGATAACCCAAGTCTATGGCTTCTACGACGAATGTCTCCGTAAATACGGCAATGCCAATGTCTGGACATATTTTACGGATCTCTTCGACTACCTGCCTATAACCGCTCTAATTGAGAACCAAATCCTCTGTCTACATGGAGGGCTCAGCCCTTCTATCGGTAACCTTGATGACATTCGCGCAATAGACCGGGTGCAAGAACCTCCTCATAGCGGCTCTATGTGTGATCTTCTCTGGAGTGACCCGGATGAAAGAGAGGGGTGGGGCATATCTCCTCGTGGAGCAGGGTATACGTTCGGTCAAGACATCTCAGAAGCGTTTAACCATGCAAATGACTTGAGCCTTGTTGCCAGAGCGCACCAGATGGTCATGGACGGTTACCTTTGGTCTCATGATAAGCTCGTGGTCACTGTGTTTTCGGGTACTGTTTCTCCTGTTAAAATGTCATGGGGCGTTAAGAGGCTGATAATATGCACTCTAGCCCCGAACTACTGCTACCGGTGCGGCAATCAAGCTGCGTTTATGGAAGTTGACGATCATCTCAATTACAAGTTGTATGTTTGTTCCTTGTATTGGGGTCGCATGCTGTACTCATATTTGTTACTAGTATGCAGTTCGAACCTTCACCGAGAAATGGCGAGCCTAAGATACAAAGACGGACACCGGACTATTTCCTATAGATGCTCCATGGGGACACCGGGCTTTAGGTACCGCGTTGAATTGATGTTTCTCTAAATCTTCCTATTTTATAGACATTGAAAAGCGCGGCATAGACTTTTCTTTTACTCAAGGGCACTCGAAGAGTAGCTAGGATATAACTTTACTCACATCATGATAGCCAGCACTCATTTCACCTTTGCAGCAGTTACCTACAATTAGCAGTGTATGTACCGGGGCATATACCCCCAAATCCTTCTTATGAACAATTACCACTATCTTAAGCAAGTTATCAACCCTAACCCAACATAAACACCGCCCTTCCCCCAAAAAACCACAGTCACAAACAAAGAGAAAAAAAAA